TATGGCAAACATTCTTTAACATGTACTGGCTTATTTCGTCCTGGCCCGAGGCTTTGCCGAGTTTCAGTATTTATAGGACATCCATAATTTCAGTGTAATTTAATCTAATTGAATCAAAAGTTTTATTGGTTTTCGGCGCAATGTCCGGAACCCGAACATTACGTTCGTCAATACGAGTTATACTACACAAATATTCATTTAATAAGTTGGATTTACCTTCATCACTACAAATTATATTCTCAGTTACTGGATCTACTAGAGTTGGTATAGTCTGTGATGTGCCACTAGATTATATCAAACGTTTAATTAATCTCCAATACGCTTTAGGATCTGAAAAAAAAAATCATCAATGATGCCATGGACATTTTCATAAAAATCTAAACGACTATACTTTTTCATATTATTTACCTTATTACGCTGACTTTTAAACTTTTGAATGTCATGAAGACGATTTGATTTCCTAGCAATTTTATGTAACCTATCCCGATTTCTTATATTTTTTCTTAATTCCGAAGTCATCCAAGGTTTGTCGTTTGGCCTGATTATAACTTCCTTAGTAGGAATACATTAGTAAAAGTTTCACAAGCAATATCCATATCCATTCTATCTATATTTACGACAGATGAGTCAATACAGGAAAAAGAATCGCTTAAGAAAATTGGATCGAGTAAGCTAGATCTAGCCTGACCTATACGTGGGTTCCAGTATAACATTTGATAAACTAGAAGAACTAATTATATCTAAGAAAACATGGTTTGTTGCAACAGTAATCAAGTCTGCATTAAAATCCCAGTAATGATTAAATTTGGTGAAATGTCGAAAGCATTATATATAGATGCGCGCAAATTTTCCCAGAACGATAAGACTGAATTTTCGGGTATGTATATGGTACAAATAATAAACTAGTATGCTGTAAGATGACTTGTAACCAAATTGCTTCGTCGCCATGATATTCAATGTCTGCTAAGCGGTTTACTTTTAACAAATTATTAACATAAACAATACCCCCTCCCGCAAAGTTTCTATCTAGTCTAAACGGAGCATGGCATCCTGGTATAAGTATTTCATCGGAGAGGACATGGTCATCTTAGTGACTGTCAGTAAGACATACATTATCACATTCTCCTGCTATGTCTTCAATAACATCCAACTTATTTCTAATACTTCTAATATTAAGATGAAATACTGAAAGCTCGCCAGAACTCGGTCCGGGATTAGATTCAACATCCATATACATTAATAAAAGAAGCAGAAGAATAACAGAAAAATTTGAATTTCGAAAGCAAGAAAAGAGAAAAACACTTAAAAGGTAAATTAAGTTTTTCATACAGTCATAATTTACCGTTAGACTGAGGCATCCGTATGAATGTGTATACAAGATCGGACTGGAGATTTGATGAATATCGCATGACAATAACAATTTTAGCAATAAAACGAGAACAATATTATTTTGCTTAATTAAAACTTGCATACAGCTTAGATAAGCGAAGAGTACACTTGAATAAACAGCTGTCTTAAACAACGTGGCGAAGGAATCTGTCTTGTTAATAAAATTCAATCGTTTGCCTATATAATGTGTTTTACAATAATAAATACCAATGGCACACCTCCGTGTATCAGTACAGCATTCCATCAAAGAGGGTAAAAATGACAATTTCTAGTAATATCTAGGTGGCCAGTGGTAGTTTCACGCTCATAAAAATATGAAGTCATCCGATGAACAGGATATGAAGAGTAAGAAAGAAGGAAAGGAATACCAGTGACAGGTGGGATTTGAATAATAAGAGCGAAGCTCTTTAATGGTAACACATGCATGCGTTAACAGAGTTGCTTCCCCTTACTACACATTGCCTTTTAAAAAAAATGTCTGGAAGTAGGCGTCCAGTGGGGAAACAGTAAGTGTATCCTTGAAGCAAAGACAATTGTGTTTCAACCCATACATGAATATCTTCATACAGTGAAAACAATCTTCATGTTTTATTACTTTTTTATTTAGATAAAAACTAATATACATCCTGAGTGAAAAAAGTATATCACATAAAAGATACTAACAGGCATGTAACTTCGTTTAGAGATGATCGGTTATTTCCGGAAGGATGAAAAATAATCGGAAAATCCTGGAACTGATGTCCGTTGCAATTATCTTTGTCGGTGCTTCAAGATTTCAGTTTTTGCCACATGCACAAAAAGTATGCGACCGTCGTTCGTCCAGTACGAAGCAATGCTTTTGGCTTTACGCGCACAGGAAAGTTCACCGATGAGTTTCTATCTCTGTCTTGTTAGATCTTCCGAGATAAATACATTGAATGATCCGGATCTGTGGTTTTTAAGGGCAGTTTTGGAAATAGATATTTTATTTTTAATTTTCCAGTTTTTGATCTGCATATAATTTGCCCTTTTCCGTTTCTGAGTTTGCCAATCATGTGCGAACGGTGAATATCTTCGGTAGCTAGAGGTGGAGACATCTTGAGTTTATATTCACACAGACACGCTCACTCTGTGTCATCGCGATCGGTACACCATGAAAACGGAGCGACGTTCTCCGACCGTATTGTTCCTAATTGTTTGCATTGAACTGATCGGGAGGGGCTACTGTATGTATCATTAGTATACTAGTGATATAGAGTCGGTTGGTCGATTCCGACTTTCTCGGAGTTTATAGTTGGCGTATAAATAACTCGTTTCAACATAGATACCAAATATACCATGTTTTGTTCGAACAAAACATAACACGAGAAGAAGGTAGAAGTGGCCTGAATTTTAAAAACACAACTCGTTTAAATCCCCATATTGAAAAAAACACAGGCAACATTTGATACTAGTAAACATACAGACACAGACAATACACAGCTCAAATAGTGTCCATTGATAATTGAATACACTAATTAATTAGTTAAAGGATACGATGGTTAGTTTGACCGACGCGAAATTCCCACTACAAAGAAAGATGACACGAGAAGTTTACTTAATTTGAGTTGCCCCTCACCGATAAGCCTTTATTTTTACCGAAAGATGCCTTTATGGCAGACCTACATACATGTATATTGCAAAAGGTGGGGCAACATTTGGCCCTCACTTTGATTTCTTTTATTCTTTTTCCATATGTATATTCATAACTACTATTGATAACCGCAGTGGACCTTCTTGTATAACACCAGATTGAGTGACGGGGTATCCTAACAAAATGATAGATAAATGTCACAGGCGAATGTTATTTTGAAAATGAATTATGATAGTGTAAAGGGTATAAAATCACTGTTATTTTGATACTAAATATGTCATATTGGTAAACATGAAGTAAGCGTAGTGATACTTTTAATTAGAAAAACATACAAAAAATTTCACAAGATTTAAAACATATAGTTACAATGGTAGTCTGTCTTTTATTCTTCTTTAAAAACTTTATATATATACATTGTATATGTTGTCTACAGAATATTTTTTATGTAATATCAAAACTGGTAAAGTACTTTTTTTTAGCATGCCAAACATGTTCAATGCCCAATTTCACATTATCATGGAGAATTGATTAGCAATGTTTATTATGGTAAATACCGATACATTTTCTGTTTTTGTATCATACCAAAACACTTTATTCTATTACGCATGTTTTAAAGTTATGTGCAGCAATAATAACTCATAAATATGTATTCTGCCAAATAAATTTCCTCTGGAGAAAAACTTACGGTTGAGATTGTGTTATAGACAAAGATATGCAATTATATAAAACAATCAAATAATCTTTATGGTAAAACTATTATGCACTTAATTATCCTCTGAAACGAAGTTGGAGGGGGTATACTGGAATCAGCTTGTCTGTCCGTAGAGAATTTCTATGAACGTTTCAAGATATGATGACTACCACCTGAGGTTTTGCATCAGGTATTGTGTTTTTATTCTGACTTTTTTTTTTTTACAAAAGTTATGGCCCTTTGTTGAAAAATTGTTGTCCTCCAAAACTATGGGGCCAATTTCAACGGAAGTTTACAGATATGTCATAAGTAATGAAACTTCACATACTTTTCTGCTTAACTCTTCCATAAAAAGAGCAATTCTTCCTTAAATAGTGTAATACAGGAATCAAAATAGCAGTTGGAATATGTTGCACATGATGATGATATAATTTTATAATAATTGTGTTATTTAAATGCTCTAGGAGAAATGGTACTACCGCACTTTTAACATTCACACAGGTGAAGTCAATGAGGTCCCATTTATCATAAACAGAATTCTGAAACTAACTGTTCCTGATTTAAGCTTCCTATACCCATACCTTTTTGGATTAAAGCTAATGTTAAATCTCCATAGGCGTTGACTCTACTTTTGAATAAAGTTTGTGTGACCCCTTTCGAGATTTTTGGGGTCAACGAAGGGGCAATGCAATAATATATATTTCGTTTTTCTGGTCGATTAAATTTAATATCGATCCAGATCATAATAAAAAGAATAATCAAAACAAGAATTAGTTGGTTTTAATTCCTTTCAAACTGATCCCCCATTTTGACAATAAACCTTTGTTAAAATGTCAATGAAGTGTGAATAATAAACGGACCTTGTGCAATCTTGTTAAAAATGTCAATGGCATGATAATAGTAAATTGACATTGTGCTATTCCGTAAACAACCAGAAGGGATAGCTAACCACACTAGGTCCTATAGTATTCATTTGGTTAAATAGTTGATTTAATACACCTCTATTGGTCAGGTCCTTTTACGGTTTTCTTTTTCACTATAGACTCTAGAAAACTGATATACACGTAATGTCATTTCTGAAAACTCTTTCCTCATCCTTTCGATGCGATGCAGTAAATACGGTTGTAGTTAGGACATGACAGTTTATAGTCTAAACCTTATAAGAGTTGGTTGATTTTGGTGTATTTTGTTACTTTTAAATTTCACTATCTCGAGTACGATCAACGCGCTAACCACAAGCCATACCTCTATAATTAAACATATGTATACTTTATAAACAATTAATTGTATTCATGTTTAATGCTGAAGGTGTAGGTGATGGTACAATCCAGTCTGGGTATTGGAGGAAGGAAGGGAATCATCACTGGCACAACACAACTGGTGAGGTCGTGTACTCAACCACAGCCCGGGGACTGTCCGACTGTGTGTCTATCTGCCAGGATAGCACAGCATGTCTTATGTGTGGCCACAGCATTGAAACTGGCACCTGTCATGGATTCAGTTACCTAGAAACCAACCTGGTATCTATTCTCGAGGAGTCGGAGGTCATCTATCAGCATACAGAAAGTAAGACAGTATTGGATCTAGAGTATTGAGTTAAACAGTAAGATGGTCGCTTGTGAATAATAGGACAAAAAGTAAGACATCGCTGATAGTAGAGTATAGAGACACAAAATACATCGGCGTTTCCTGCTGAGTAAAGACATACAATGCTGTATATTATAAGCTGTCAAGCTTATTATGTAGAAGAATTTATATAGATACATACAATGACAGCGTAAGGCTGTAGAATAAAGAGCCGCAGAGAGTGGTAGTGGTGAGCTGTCACGTATAGTTTGGATATGATTTCTGTAGCATACACTGCCTGATTTGTGCCATTTCGTGCGTTCGTCTTTTCGCCCCGGCGAGACCAGATATAATAGTTGCTTGAATCTCGTTTGTCAGTCTTTTCGCCACGAAAGAAAACCCTATACAAACTATATGCCACAGCTCACCACTGTTGTGGTCTGTGTAACCATGAAAAGACGTCAAATCACGCATGAAAAGACGAAAAGACGACAAATCAAGCACGAAAAGACTAAAAGACAACATATCACGCACAAAAAGACGAGAAGACGACATATCACGCACGAAAAGACTAAAAGACGACAAATCACGCACAAAAAGACTAAAAAACGATATATTACGCACGAAAAGACTAAAAAAACGATATGTCATGCACGAAAAGACTAAAAAATGACATTACACGCAGGAAAAGACTAAAAGTCGACAAATCACGCACGAAAATAATAAAAGATGACATATCACACACTAAAAGACTAAAAGACGACAAATCAAGCATGAAAAAACGAAATACCTTCAATTTTTCCTGTTTTTCGCAGAGATGAAACCTCGAGTTTTCTTACTCCTCTTTTCGCCCCGAAATAACCAGCATTAATTCATTCTCAAACGGGAATTAAAAGTAAATAATTCTCTTTTTTTTAGAAACATTCACATTCACCTTATCAATACTATCACTGAAGATTTGGGTTCAGCATTAACACTTTTAGTTTCTACTGATAGACACTGATCAACACAACTGTTGTTGTTTCATTCAGTATAAATAAAGTTTTGCGCATGTTACTTGCACTTTAATTGTAATCTCATATATTCTGTTAGCACAGTAGTCGTTGTGTCCTCATTGCTAATACAGCAACACTACATTTAAAGTCTGTTGCATGTTACTAGCAATTGAATTATAGTCTCGTATACTTTTTATTATAAAATGGTAGTTACGTGTTGTCATTTACACGTTCATTGTAGTCTCGTGCGCACTGTTAGCCACATAAAAGTCACTATTAGCAATGCTTAGTATTTTCACAAGTCCAATATTCTGTACTCCTCTTGTTTCAACTAATTGATTATCTAATTTCGTCCAACTCCTCTTCCACATCAGGTTGTGTTCGGGCAGGTTATGTACTATTGGGCGACGGACCTCTATGTGTGAAGAAACACGACGATGCCTTAACATGGAACGACGCAAAGACGCAGTGTGAACAATATCATGGCCGACTTGTCGTTATTGACAACGCTCAAAAGTTGGAGGCATTTGTCAATTATTTAGGTAAATGTTCGCTATAAATTGCTTTTCAATCATAATCTTCGTTTTCCAATTGAGTAAAAAAAAATCAACTACATGCAAAATGCATATTTCGTGATGTTAACTCTTAGAGAAAAAAAGGCATTAATCTATTCTAATTGAGATAGTACGTTCTGTATTGTTTTGTGTGGAGTTTACACATGTTACATTTATTAAATACGATATAAATATATTATATGTTTTGTGTCCCGTTCATGTCTCAAGTTCACAATCTCCGGTACAATGTATTAATTCGCCGAGCTGGGAATTACCCGTCGGCAGCTCTGATCATCTCTCCAAGCTTCCGCTTTTGGGTAGGTGTCGTTAATATAGGGGTTAAAGACGCTGGTTGCATCAATCAGCTATACCGCTTTACCAACATGGAACTTTATCTTAGCTTCGTATGAGTATCAATTTAAGAATAAAGAAAGACTACAAAAATATTTTTCCGTTTACAGAGAATATAACCTCTGCAGTATTATGGATAGGTGTCAACGACAAGGACAGCGAGGGATCATGGGTATGGCTTAATGGGGCCAGCCTTATCACTGCCTACTTGCCATACTATCAACTCAACAACTACAGTGCCGGGTATCCGGGGAAAAAGAATAACGCCGACTGCGCCTGGATGTCTAAAAGTGGGGGGCTTGTTGATGATAATTGTCTCCTGAAAAATTCATATATGTGTGAGAGAGCAGACCTTGTTTAGTGTTATACGTTTAAATCATACGGAACAGGCCATTCAGGGATTCAATCTTATTTCCTGGAGCCTTCGAGCAATAGTCCAAGATAACGGACTATTTCCTTTTGATATTTTGATTGGGCGGAGATAGTCAGAACTACCTCATCATGGTCTCTGTGAAAACAATTGTACAAGATGTTCGGTTCGAAGTTCAATTGATATTTCCTGGTATACCGGAGAATATCCGCAATACTTTCTGCACACAGATAGAAAGATGATGTATTAGCTCTGTCTGCAATACTTTCTGCACACAGATAGAAAGATGATGTATTAGCTCTGTCTGCAATACTTTCTGCACACAGATAGAAAGATGATGTATTAGCTCTGTCTGCAATACTTTCTGCACACAGATAGAAAGATGATGTATTAGCTCTGTCTGCAATACTTTCTGCACACAGATAGAAAGATGATGTATTAGCTCTGTCTGCAATACTTTCTGCACACAGATAGAAAGATGATGTATTAGCTCTGTCTGCAATACTTTCTGCACACAGATAGAAAGATGATGTATTAGCTCTGTCTGCAATACTTTCGGCACACAGATAGAAAGATGATGTATTAGCTCTGCCAGTTCAACATTTCAATCTTCTTTCAAGCTGTAGGAGTGAATTGGCTATGAGGACTTAATATTTGTTCATAAACAATGTGTGTTTTAGATTTCACTTTATTATGTTACACACGAGGTGTGTTTTAGATTTCACTATATTATGTTACACACGAGGTATGTTTAAGATTTCACTATATTATGTTACACACGAGGTGAGTTTAAGATTTCACTATATTATGTTACACACGAGGTATGTTTTAAATTTCACTATATTATGTTACACACGAGGTATGTTTTAAATTTCACTATATTATGTTACACACGAGGTATGTTTAAGATTTCACTATATTATGTTACACACGAGGTATGTTTTAGATTTCAATTTATTATGTTACACACGAGGTATGTTCCGTCGGACCTCTGTGGCATCGCCTTCAGTAACGAGACAAACCGATTAACTTGCCGTAACTCGTGCCGAAATATATCCTGTCCAGAAAATATTTCCTTAAAGGTTTTAAATAGTCGTAGTTGATATTTGTATCGGCTCAGCGGCAGAGATAACACTTTTCATCCGTGTATAGTAAACATTGTGTATTTCTCCGATATACCAAAAATTAGTAAGTGTAGTGCTTACCAAACTCGGTGTGCGTTTTCATCACAGAGACCTTATGGAGGACGTTCAGACTATATCCGTCCCATCAAAAATGTTTATAAATAAAAGGTGATAGTTGTTTCGGACTATCCGATCAATGACGAACAGTATCACATTGGGCGAATTTGATTCTGGTGTGCTGGTCGTGCCAGAATTTGATGTAGATATTTGCTACCAGTTGTGAGTCAGCCGTAGTTGATAATATGGATTGAATATTTCTTTTCATGTTTAGTATACACGTGATAATTTGAATGGCAATACATACATTTAACATACATCCAAGTTATATGATATGTCATTTAGAATCTCTTCTGAAGAGGTATATCCATTATGATGTCATACTCATTATATAATAATATAGCGTTTGAGCTGACAGCAGAGGGTTTCCTAGTCCTATATAGTCAAATTAAAATCTGTGTAGCCTTGTATGTTGCAGCATAAGATTCTCGGGCAGAGTAACGGGTTGCTTATATGACATGGGACATATATATGAATTACAAAAGAAATGTAAAGATTGATGCTGTGCCTGCTCTTCCCTCATAAACATATAAGCACATACTATTTGATAAAAGTCAGTAAACAAATATATCATAAGATTGAGTTATCAAATTATGATGCGATGTCGCACATGCATATTGAAATACAGAAACTCGGTTGGATTAGAGGTTAGGGTTATCGGCCTGAATAATCATGTTAATGTAAAAACTTGGGTTTATGTGAGATGAAGACAGAAATTAATTGATAACTTTAACGCATAGCGTTATGCGAACATCTACTTAAAATAGCGTGAGGCTCTCACACAGATGAATGAAGGGGATTGCAGTGCTATCTGGGAGAGATTACTACCAATGACCGTCATATGTACCTTTGGACCGAGTAAGGGCCGACCCAACGACATCTGCTTGTGAACGTTTCGACGGAGATATTGGAAACATAACGACATACGGTTGTACAGATCTTTTCGAATCAGTTCAACTAGAAGCTATGCGTTTAATTACTGGCCTCAGACGAGGTACATCTCATCACATTCTGTATACTGAAACACAACTTGAAACATTACACACACGAAGACAAAATCACAAACTAACATTAATGTATAAGATTCTTAATAATTACACTGCAACTTATCTCGATAATATCATTCAACCATTTCTAAAATCTTCAGAAATAACAGATTCTTAAATATACCACAGACAAGATCTACCACTTATATTAATAGCTTCTTCCCTTCTACAATGGTAAATGGAATGCACTTGATAGCACTGTACGAGACTCTATCTCAATTTCATCTTTTATAAAGAAACTTAAAAAACTTTGATACATCCGTCTCAGAAACTTTTATTAACTGTGTTCCGAGGAAACTTCACATACTTTTAGGTCAGCTAAGAAATTTTAAAAGTGATCTTAACTGTGATAAGTTACAAGACCATCTGATTGATGATGCTTCCTGTGTATGTGGTGTACAGAGGGAAGATCTAATACATTTTTTCTTTCAATGTCCTCTGTATTCTAATATTAGGCATCATATTACCACTATTTATAATCTATACGGATATTTAAATCCGCACTGTTTAGTATATGGTATTAGTAATGCATCTGACCAATTAAATAAAACTATTCTTATACATGTTGACTCTTATATTAAATCATCAAAACGTTTCGTTACTTATACGTGCTAGATAAATTCCAAATGAATATTCATGTATTGTTATTATTATTGTTATTCAGGCAAGTTTTATCCCTTAAATAACGAGTATTAGACATAAGCTGGTGTGGGTGTGGGTGTGCATGAGTGTGAGAGGAAACGAATCACAACATTTTATATATTTAAGCATTGTACATAGCTACCGGAATTAGAAGACTGGTATAGGCAAAGCCTATTGTCTTATTCTTTTGTCAATACTGTTCTAATATCTTCTTTAATGTTAACTTATATGTTTGTATTATATATGTATTGTCAATAAAATACTTTTGAAATTGAAATTGTATAGTGTGTTTTCTTAACATTTGGACGGATTAATGGACGACGTTACGACATCCGGTTGTTCGATTGTTTTTAAACCATTGGAAGGAACTGACTGACCAATTTGTAAGACTCCGCAGCAAGATTTCTCAGACCGAATAAACTATGGATTACTTTGATCATTATTGGAAAATTAATAAGGGAACATTTTTAGTCAGTAAGATCGTTAAAAGTACAAAAGCTTACTCGATACTTGTCTATATTGCTATGATATCAAACCATGTTATTCTGCGTATACAAACATCTCTCTGCGAACTCCGGCAGTAGCTAAAATGTTCAACATTGGCTGATCAGATTATTAGAGTTTGGTTATGAGCAAAAACATACCTATATATTTATAAATATATATAAAGATGCGTATAATACAATTAATCTTGTTTCGTCTTATTTTTGAAAGAATGAAAGAGCAAATAAAATTGTATTCACTGGTTTTCAAGGGTATAAAGGTCACGTGTACTTTTTCAAAACTGTACCAAAGGTCAATTATTTAGAAAAACATAATATTATGTTCGCAACTATTTTTAGGTCGAGGTCATTTTCATTCTCAAACTTTGTCGGGCTCTATCCTAGGAAGCCACCAGCCAAATATAAAGATTACATACCTTTCAGTTCATCCGTAGAAGTCGTTTGAAGTGTTTGACACATTTGACCCTGAAAGTAGGTCAATGTCATTATCATTTCAAACTTTGTCGGGCTCTATCACACGAAGCCACCAGCCAAACCAACCTGTCGGTTCTTCAGAATTTGTTTAAAGGAAAAGTAGACGGATGACGGCCGCCGCACAATGACATAAGCTTATAATTGCCTTAAGGCAGGTGATCTAAAAGGTGCTAGTTAATTGAGGTAAAAGGTGACCCCAATACGGCTTGTTCTCGTTTCCCCCACTTTTTAAAATAACATGGGGGGAAGAATGTTGTTAGAAGGATTATAGTCTGTTTCTAAGTAGTATGGGCAGTATTTACCTGTGGTTACCCCTTCTACCTAAGGTGGTGTTTAATCATATTTAATTCAATAATACATTATATAAGTTTTTTCAGATTTGTAATGACAAATGTTAAAATTTAAATTATTTAGATATTAATCATATATATAAATATATATATTCAGTATTAAATATATCAATTTTGTAGTCCATGAGCTGCTGATATGATGAGATGAAATGTGTTATTTCATTTTCTAGTACTTTGAAAATATTAATATAAATAGTTATTTCATAATCTTTATTATTGTAACATTTAATAAGATGCCTACATTACCTTGTACAAAATGTAAGAATGTAATGTGTGACTAAGAGTGTGATGTTTAACAGTTAATTAATCAGTTAATTAATCAAAATTCCTAGATGTTATAAGTATCTTAAAACTATCATAAAAATCATTGAAGATCTATAATTATCCAAGCCAGCATTTCCATCCAGGTGCGCTAAAAGTGATCACAGTCTATGCTAATTACTGAGATGATGATGAGTGTTACCATTAGTTAAGCACTCCTTAATTTGTATCCAAGCTGATGATGAATATCCAAGCCAAATTGATTATATATAGCAACCATTCTGGGGCAGTCATATCCAACTATACAGCTCAAGCAGTATTACAGTGAATCTAGAATATCTACGCAAATTCTATTTTACGAAACTACGAGACTACTACCCACTACTAGACTACTACCCCTACTAGACTACGAGACCATAGCGAATGCACAGATTCAGGTCAAGTTTGTGAGAAACAAACGTCGCGGATGAAGTCTTGCATATAATGGTTACATTTATAGTGTTAAGAGCAACAGAGGTGACAGGACCCCCGAATTGTTTGTTGTTATGATGTATAACCTACAATGTTTATGGAATTGGGCTGCAAAATACTGATAGTGTCGCGAAAAGTATTTGTAATATGGACATATTTACACACTCGTTATATAAATTGAAACTAACCAGATATTTTCTTTATTTGTAAACTCAAATAATTCAGGAGTTCATACTCCTCACCTCCCATTTTGTTACAACAGTACTAGAGCAATGTGGATTTTCAATCAGCTTTACAATGCAGTGTAATTAATTTATGATTGGCCTACAGTATATATAACCAAATGTGGTGCAATTTAGCAATCACTTGTTTGCGTTATGTTAATCTTACAAGAGTATAGTGTTCAACTAAGCATACCGTCATAACGAGGTATATTACGACGTGTACGTATCCCGTAATTCAATATCGTTATCTCATTGTTACGACTGAAAAAGTATATAGAGGAGATATATATATGTACAAGTACTCGGCAGTAAAAGCGTATCGATCGTTCAACGGGAAGTAACTCATTGATTCTGTAACAGTTTTGGATTCGAATATGTTAATATTTGATATTGTTTTCTTCTTGTGGGTACCTTATATAATTTCTAGTATCAGTAACCTTAATGTTTGTCTAGCACCTATAACCTTCATGTTTTGTTTCGTATCAGTAACCGTAATGTTTGAAATACCACAATATTGTACCTTAATTCATAAGGTTCTGTCTAGCATCAGTAACTTTAATGGTTTGTCTAGCACCTATAACCTTCATGTTTTGTTTCGTATCAGTAACCGTAATGTTTGAAATACCACAACATTGTACCTTAATTCATAAGGTTCTGTCTAGCATCAGTAACTTTAATGGTTTGTCTAGCGCCATAACGATAATGTTTTTAACTAGAGCGTCTAATCTCGCCGCCGCCATTAATGCGTTTTCTTGTATCTTTTCTTTTGATTGTATCTCTAGTATTGCTAGCCTTCCTGGTTTGCCTTCTATCCCATACATTCACGGTCAGTCTGGTAAAGTGTCAATTAATGGTTTGTTTAATAATATTACTATTGTAATAGTATCCACTTTCAAAACAAGTAACGGATTGTCTAGTATAATTTAATTCAAATTCGTCACAGGAAAGTATGAAGTAAGGTAATCTTGAATGCAGGCAGACGGCATAGTATGAAAAGTTTCAGGGATCTGGCGCAGATTACAAAGAGTTTTTAAGGGGGAAACGTAGTAAAGTACCACTTGGTTAGGAGTTGGCACGGTACTGGTGTTATTTTTAAAATTAATTCGTTCTGGTTGTTCCCTTTTAAATTACTTTTTCTCAACGAAAACAAACTGAATCATAACAGCGTCTTTCCCTGGAAAAATCGTCGTCGATTTGTTCAGCATACATTTACATCAACAAAGAGAGTCGGCCAGACCCTTCATCTACGATTCAAGAAAACGATTTACTATCTTAAAACGAACATATACTGATTCTGTGTATGATATTTTGTATATTTCCCCCATACGTTACACAAGAAACACTGCATAGACCATTGTTAAATTAATATGACGGTGTGAGATATCGGGCTGTCGCCTCCAGGATATAATGAACATATCTGTCAACTGGTCAAACCACAGACATGTACTAAAATTATCAACAAATGATATATCATAGAAAAACTTTAATCAAGTTTAATTTTACATACAATTATTGCACTTTATATAAACCACCATTAAGAACAATTCACATATCTGGGCACAAAAATAAGCGCTCCAATCAATATAACAAAATATCTTAAAAGGTGGGGTCAACATTTGGCCCCCACTTTGATTTCCTTTATTATTTTACCATATGTAGATACATACAAATGATCAATAACTGCATAAATGATTATTCATAATTACTACTGATAACCGTAGCGGACCTCCTTGCATACCACCAGGTTGAGTGACGGGGGTATCCGAACAAAATGACCAATAAATATCACAGGCAAATGTTAATTTGGAAATGAATTATGATAGCGTATAGTGTATAAAATTACTGTTATTTTGATACTAAATATGTCATATCGGTAGACATGAAGTAAGCTTAGTGATACTTTTAATTGGAAAAACATGCAAACTTTTCACAAAATTTAATATAAAACTAACATTGTTAATTTGCCTTTATATAGTTACATTGGTAGTCTATATTTTAAACTTCTTTAAAAACTTCCTATATATGTATTTTGTTTACAGAATCATTTTTATGTAAAACCAAAACCGGTAAAGTACTTTTTCAGCATGCCAAACATGATCAATGCCCCATTTCACATAACCTTGAAGATTTGACTATCAATGTTTATTATGATAAATACCGATACATTTTCTGTTTTTGTATCATACTAAAACATTGTTTTATGTAAGGCATGTTTTCAAGTTATGTGCAGCAGTAATAACTCATGAATATATATTCTGTCATAGTAATCTTTCCTCTGGAGAACTTCTTTAGGTTTGAGATTGTGTTATAGACAAAGCTATGCAATTATCTAAAAATAAATAAAATAATCTTAATAACAAAAGTGTTATACACTTCATTATACCCCGAAACGAAGTTGGGGGTGGGGGGGGAGGGGGTGGGGGTATATTGAAATCAGCTTGTCTATCCGTTTATCTATCCACTGATTCTTAAGTAGAGGACCAATTTCAACGAAAGTTTCCAGATATGATAACTGACACCTGCAGTTGTGCATCCAGGTATTATTTTTTCATTCTGACCTTTTTTCCTCAATGTTATGGCCTTGTGTTGAAAAATCCTTGTCCGGACATGTCCTCCAAAACTAAGGGGTCAATTTCAACGAAAGTTTTCAGATATGGTTACAAGCACCTGATGGTGTGCATCCAGGAATTTCTTTTTTCAATCTGACCATTTTTTTTTTACCGAGTAATGGCCCTTTGTTGAAAAACACTTGTCCAGACAACTCCTCCAAAACTATGGGGCCAATTTCAACATAAGTTTACAGCTATGGCAACTGCCCCCTGACATTGTGCATCCAAGAAGTATATTTTCAATCCAACCCTTTAAAAAAGGCGTTATGGCCTTTTCTTGAAAAAAACTTTGTCTGTCTCATAAACATCTGGGCCAATTTCATGAAAGCTTGTTTTGCATCAGGGTAGTATTTGTTCATTTCGACCCTTTTTAAGGAGTTATTGCCCTTTGTTAAGAATCTGTCTTGATAATTCTTCCTTAACTACTAGAAAAAATTAAGCAAAAATGGGTCATCTAGGCTAACAAGATGTGGTATGAAAGGATGTTTTAGCATAGGGAGGGAGTACAAGAAGTATTCCAGTGACATATATACATACATAATTACTGGTGGGAAGCTATGGATTAATTTGCAATGCTTTGCCTTAGTTAGCCTTTAGATTACAGTTTTGGTTTATATAGGAGCGGAGGTATTAGTTAATCTTTGGCTTACAGTTCTATTTATTATTGTTGTTACCTTTTGACCATTCATTAAACAAAATATGAATAGGGATATTACACTATTTTATATCGTTATCTCTAAACAAATAAAGCAAGGAAAGGTACCCTTGTCTGACAAAACAAACATTTCGGCACATTTGGTTTTTGTGACCTTGAACAAAGGTCAAGGTCATCAAATTTAAGAGCACTTAAACTCATTTACATGAACAACCTACTTACCAAATATCAACACCCAAGGACCTTTAGTCATGAAGAAACACAAGTTAAAGGAAATGTGGAAAGAAAGCTATGGTGGGTTTTTTTAACCAAAAGTACATGTAGTATACAACAAATTTACCGGTTTTCATTTTTTTTGAAATTCCTGATGTTGAAAGATATTATTGGTAGTCAACTTTTTAAGAAGTAAGAAAAATAGGCTAGTTTTAGAACTATATGAATCAACGTGTCAAAACTGGAAAATTTCTCATTAGAAATGAAATTTCACACATTTTTCTGCTTAATTCTTAAATAAAAAGAAAATTCTTTATTGTAATAGTGTAATATTCGGTATCAAAATAACAGTTGAAATACGTTGCACACGATGATGATATAATTTTATAATAATTGTGCCATTTAAATGCTCTAGGAGGAATTGTATTACTGCACATTTAACACCCTCACAGGTGTAAGTCAAGGAGGTCCCATTTATCATCAAATACATTCTGAAACTAACTGTTCCTGATTTAAGCTTCCTATACCCATACTTTTTTTGATTTATCTTGTTTTGAAATTCCAAGTGGGGGCCGACGCTAATGTTAAATCTCCATAGGTGTTGACCCTACCTTTGTAATATTACCCCATTCAAAGAACACAGATTTGCTCATCAACTAACACATAAGTTCTCTTTTATATAAAGTAATTGTTCTTGCAAACGATAAAATATCTCTGCTACACAAATGCCTCATTAATGTAAAAATATATATACATTTACAGTGGGTTATAGGTATATTACATTATGAGTCTTCACAACTTAAACGTTGTCCACGTAAAATGAGATTGCACCATCCTTTTCATATTTCATCATTTTGTTTTCAAACACATAGAGCATTGCATTGTAATAAAAACATGTCAAACATGGTTTCTGTTCAGTGACGTTATGAGTAATGGACAAAAGTTGCAAATTGCTCAAAGAAGTGTGTTTTCAGCCAACTTTCAAACATCATAAATATTTCAAAAGGCTTCGTGATATGGAAACCAGCAACCAATCATTATATGTGAGCGAATTAGCTGAGCATTAAAGTGGAGTGAGGAATTTTAGTTGTTTCCCTGGAATCCAATAGTTACTTCAAACATCTACATAAACAATTAGCTTTGAGCTCCTGGAGTGCAAGAATAATAGAATCTCCTGGAGTGCAAGAATAATAGAATCTCACGGAGTGCAAGAATAATAGAATATCATGGAGTGCAAGAATAATAGAATCTACCTTGAGGGTGTGACAGAGAAATCTCCTACCCGAGGGGTGATTTGTTTGGTTGTTGAACCAAAGGCTCTGCCTAGGGTTAGACACCCAAAAACAATCATCCCGAGGGTTGGATAGTTCTCTGTAACACCCTCAAGGTAGGGTATGATTATTTTTCACCCATCCTATTATTTCAGCCACAGCTCCACCGACTGTAGTCTGCCATGTATGTAAACAAAAACACATGCGGGGTATGCATATCGTCATTCACTTTTGATTACGTCACAATTACCGATGATGCATTTTAATGACGTCACAATTGAACAGTGAGGTATGTTGATCGAAGGCCAGATAGGTCTGCCTGTCCATTATCAGATCTCAATCCATACAGTGTGAGGTATGTTTATCTAAAGCCAGATAGGTCTGCCTTTCCATTATCAGATCTCTGTCCATAGAGTGTGATGTCGCTCAATCAAAGGCCATGTAGGTCTGTCCAGCCATCACTGGGTCTCTTGTCCATATAACACTCGCCACCATTTCTGAGACAACGGCTACACTGGCTTTGGTCTGAATAGAAAATAAAATATGATTTAAATTGTTGACCCAGTGTAGTTCTGATTACTTCATGTGATCTACTTTACTTTAGTGAGTTGTTTTATAAAAATAAACAATGTTCAGAACTAAACTGTGAACACCTTCACCTAAACAGCAGCTTTTATAGAAAAGTACATTATATGAAGTCAATATGGTAGAAAGCAATCTATTAATACAACTTAAAACATGGCTGTAACACCATCTATTGTTCTTGTATGAAGTATAGTTGAGGCAAATCTACTATTATCACCTACTACTGTGGACTAGTTACATTTTACCATGAACTATTCCACAGTAAAACCATGAACTATTCCACAGTAAAACCATGAACTATTCCACAGTAAAACTATGAACTATTCCACAGTAAAACCATGAACTATTCCACAGTAGAAGGTGACAATACAAGAATTTTCTAAACCTGGGAGTAAAATATAATACAAGACATGAAGTTAACAGTTTGATTTTTTTATTTTAATCAATGTCTCAATTGAAAAAACAAATTAGCACTGTATCCAGTTATCTGTCAATTAAATCAACGTTTATTTGTACCCTGAAAAGGGAGATAACTTTATTATGAGCATTTCAGTTTCAATCGTTACTGAATACCAGCAATAGTTTCACACAGGGTATTCTCCTGATACTCTGATCCTTTTTCTTATTTATCTCTGTTACAAATCTCCCTAAACTGGCATCAAGATCTTTATCAAGCATAAACAAAAGCTTCCTGCGACTTATAAATCAGCTTTCCATGCCTAAAATGTTGGGCTGTTCAATCAAATATTGCAACGGTATTACTGATATCACCTTATATTTGTATCCTCTGTTCGGAAATTTTGGCAATCAAAATAAGTAATAACAAGAATATCAAAGGCTTAAAAGTACTTGAATCTGAACAACCTATTTTACTTTCACAATATGCAGACGACACATCTATAATTCTGGACAGATCAGAAACATCACTTAGAGAATCTATAAAAGAATTGAAATACTTTGAAAAAATATCAGGATTAAAAATGAATTTGGGAAAAACAGAAGTAGTTTTGATAGGGAGTAAAAAATATAGTGATGAGGTTATGGCTAATGAATTGAATTTACAGTGGGGGCATACAAGGTTTACATTTCTTGGCATTGATTTTCATGTTTATCTACATCGTATTCCAAAAATAAATTTTGATAAAAAAATAGTAAAACTTAAAGCTCTGATGAAGACTTGGAGTAGGAGAATTCTTACACCAATAGGGACAATAAATATAATAAAGACTATACTAATTTCTCAATTTAATCACTTATTTATCGCTTTACCAAATCCTGATAATACATTTGCCAAAAGGATGAATACAGAAATATATAACTTCCTCTGGAATAGTAAGATTGATAAAATTAAAAGAGATGTAATTATTAAAAACTTTTCTGATGGTGGTCTCAAAATGATTCATATTAAATCATTTATAGACTCATTAAAACTAACTTGGATTAGAAGATTACTCTCAACAACAGGAACATGGCAAATTATTTTTAATTCAACTTTTGATAAAAACCTTCTTGTAAATTATGGATCAGACTATATTTCCTTTTGTCATAATAACTACAAAAATCTTTTCTAGAAAGATGTCTTTCTTGCATGGAAAAATCTTACTATTCTTGAGGAAAAATATACAGATACAAAACAGATCTCTGACATGCCTATATGGTTTAACGAAAAAATCAAAATAGATACTAATAGTGTTTTATATAAGGACTGGAATAGGAAGGGAGTTGTAGTAGTTAATGACTTAAAAAAGGATAACAACAACTTCTTCAGGTTTTTTGAACTAAGAGAAATATGTGGTTTTAGAGCAATTTTTTTACGATATCATGGAATTGTTACAGCTATAAAGGAGCTTTGCAGTCGGTGTAACTTGACTCATCCAAAAATAGACTATTCTTTTATTCCAAGAAAATTACAAATATTTGCTAAAAAACAAAAAGGTAAAAAAGATTTTTATAATGTGCTTAGTAAAAGTGAAATAATTGCAAGTGGAACAAAAAAATGGGATGAACAATTTGAATTTGATAAAGGTGATTGGAAAATGATTTTAAAACTCCCTTTTTCTGTCACAAAAAATACAAAATTGCAATGGTTCCAATTTAGGGTTAATCACCATAGTCTAACAACAAATTTGTACTTATTTAAAGTATTTAGACAGTCCTTATTGTAACATTTGTAAAACAGAAATTGATACGATAGAGCATACGCTATGGAACTATGAAAAAGTTCAAATTTTACTTGTTAACTTAGAAAATTTGTTGAATTCACTGTTCATTCCATTTGAATTTAATAAGAAATCTTTTCTTTTTGTTACATATCGTCAGAATGCAATAAACAGAAAAGTGGATAATATGATCATCTTTACAATAAAACAATATATCTACAAATCAAGGTGCCTCAAGAACGAACTCTGCATTATTGCCCTGAAAAATACACTAACAGATACATATACAACTCAAAAATACATTGCTAGAAGAAAGGGAGAAAGCTACTTAAACCAGTTTCAAAGAGAATGGGCCAAATGGCCAAACTTTTTTTGAAACACCCAAACTTGAAATGACGACTGATTTACCATAAGTAACTTATCAATTTATAAATATAATTGTTATATTGAGTAAATGTAAATATTGATTACACTCACACCGACAGCTAGGTTACAGAGAAATTCAAAATGTAATACCAATTTTCAACAATCCTACCTTTCCTTTCTGATATTTGTATTGGTGTTTGTATGATAATGAATGAGTGTGTGTGTCTTTATATATATGTTTGTGTTATGTCATTATATGTTTATATATTGTAACTGTATTGTATACTAATGTAAAAATTTGAAAAAAAAATAGAAAAAAATTGGAAACGGGCCTCGAACTGTCCATTATCTTGATTATTCCATGGTTTTCGGTGTTTGTCCTATATGTATTACCAGGAGGTTTGAAATTCCCTTCCTTCAAAAAAAAAAGCCTCAGTAACAGGTTAAGGATAAAGAAGTTCTGATAATTCAACAATTATGCAGTTGACGGCATGGGAGACATAACGCATTCCTATTACAGCAAGGAACTTAGAATTCCCCAGCGCAGTTCAAGTTAAAACCCCAAAACATTTATAGCGAATCTCTGGAGACTTACATCCACTACAGTCTACATGAACTTCATTTCTATCTGTTTTCATGCTTACAATAGCTTACAATATATTTATCAAATCTTACCTCACTCAAAACAAAATAGACCAGCAGATGTTTCTTCCTCCAAGATTTCGTTTTCCCCTGCATAGCTTCTCTGACCTTTCTACAGCAGTCCATAACTTTATCCTCTGACCGTATCACATGAACTATGACTTTATCCATAAAAGGTGTGCGGGCCACAATGCCGTCCTTTTTTTGTTCCTCGTGGTGATTTTCTGTGTACTCTGTGATTACATCACAGTCAAACTGGGTGTAGTAATACACAGTACAGTTTGTGTCCACAAGGTCACATGTCTCCATAGAATCGCAAACAGTCATCTACAAGACAACAACCTCACAACATGAGATGGTTTATCAAACTCTGATCTCCTGGCATGGCACTTTAATGTTTATAGCTATATGTTCTGTTTGGACACACAGCAATGGTGTCAACCTCTGTAACCTCCAATCAGGGAGTATCATTCCACATTTCCAAAGAGGAAGAAAGTGTGTGAAGCGCAAATGAAATTGCTTTGCTCAATTTATCTTTCCCTTTTTATGTATCAAAATAACTCCAAAAAACATTCATTTGATTCAGACACACCTGTTATGATCATTACACACACCCTGCAGTAACTAGGAGATCATTTGACCACAGAATGTAGATTTTGAGTTTGTGTGAGTTTTGACTTGAATGAGGGAGTTTCAAGGAGATAGGTAATTTTCGGTCAAAATGAAGGAGTCTCCCTCCTTATGAGAGATGTTCGACAGCTATGAAAAGTAAACTTATAAATCATGCAAAATTAATATAAAAATCTCAAAGTTACGTCAATTACAGACTTTGAGAAGAAACACAGTTTAACATTGTAATTTAGCGATAACAATACTTGTAACCTACTCATGATTTTTGAAGGTTTGATGAAACTTCTCTTTCAAGTTAATAATAGATAATGATATAAAAATTGAAAGAAAAATCTATGACCAAAGATCGTCGAAATCTTATGTACGAGACATGTTCAACAAATCAAGTGACTAGGTCATTATAAATCACACATGGTAACCATTGTTTCAAATTGGCAATTCAAATTTGTATGATGAAAAGTAATTTGAATGTTTCATCATTTGTCTGATATATACAAAATTTGGTTGATGTGAATATACATTTAAAGGTGTTTGCATAATGTGACAATATTTGTCTGATGTTACCTTCAGATGCCGAGCCGCGAAGTCCTGTTGTAGATGTGTGACAAGATCTCTGTCGCAGCACCCAACCACCTGAACTTGTAACTCATTCTCTGGAACATAGATTGATTACAAGGTTAATAGATATTTGTCTTTCTGATGGTAGAACAATCCATAGGATTGAATGGTGGCTCTCATTGTACACTGACACTGTTTTGTTTATCTTGAGCAATCCATTTCCAATCATTTATGTTAATGTTTTTACAATCAGATTTAAACATAAGTCTACATGTAATAATATGTGTAACATTAACACAGTTATTGTTTACTGTCTGCCCACAATCACATTATCACTGGGACAATATCTGCCCTCCTACTGTGAATCACACATACCTTTCAGCATCCCTTCTGCAGCATACAAGTCTTTTCTTAAAGTTACCTACCAATACAATAACTTCAAGAGCTGAACATTTTATTTTCATATAATTAATCTGCTATAGTGCTAACTAGAACTGTAAGCCAAAGGCTAACATATACACCCGCTCCTAGATATGATATCAGAACTGTAAGCTAGAGGCTTACTAAGCATTGCAAAGCAATCCATAGTCTCCCACAAGTAATGATTTCTTTATTCACTGAGCTGTACACTTATTTAAGTATATAGGTCACTGACATACTTTCTATACTCTCTCCCAATGCCAAAACATACTTGCAAACCAGATCTTGTGAGCCCGGATGAACGTTTTTTGCTGAAATCGTCCTAGAAATTAAGGAAGAGATGCAAGGACATTTGTTTTTAACAAAGGGCCATAACTCCTTAAAAAGGGTCAAAATAAAAAAAATAGTACCCTGATGCACGACAATAGGGGGTAATTATCATATCTGTAAACTTTCATTTAAATCGGCCCATTAGATTAGGAGAAGTTGTCAGGACAAGAATTTTTCAACAAAGGACAATAACACCATAAAAAGGGTTAGAAAAAATAATACCTAGATGCACAACATCAGGGGGTAGTTATCATATCTGAAAAGTTCTGTTGAAGTTGCCAATCTTGGCAGTGTTGTCTGGAGAAGTTTTTTTTCAAAAAGGGGCCATTACTCAGTAAACAAGAGTACCGCGGGGTGGAACAATATACGCCCATCAAATGCCATATAATGTTATATACTTTCTAACATTGAAATAATATCTGCATCATTCTAAGAGTGGTTAGCTGACATGCTATAAAAAATGTAGGAGGAGATCTCCGGACAAAAAATCAAATACTGAAATGAACAAAGGGCAATAACTTTAGGAAAAATTGTCGAATGAAAATTCTTTTAAGGGAGACACAACTTCATATCATGATTATAATGTATACCAAGTTTCAAAGAGATCGGGAGAAAAATGTAGGAGGAGATTGCCGGACAAACAAAAGTTCACGATGGACGGACGGACAACCCCATACCATAATACTTCCGTCAAATTTGACTGGCATATAAAAAGGGTCAGATTGAAAAAAAGATACCTGGATGAACAACATCAGGTGGTAGTTATCATATCTGAAAACTTTCGTTAAAATTTGCCCTGTAGTTTTGGAGTTGTCGAGACAAGGATTTTTCAGAAAAGGGCCATTACTTTGTAAAAAAAGGTCAAAAAGAAAAAAATAATACCTGGATGCACAAAATGATACCTGGATGAACAACATCAGGTGCTAGTTATAATATCGGGAAAGTTTTGTTGAAATTGGTGCATTACTTTAGAAGGAGTTGTCCGTCCATCCATCCATCCAGACACACAGACAGACACACAGATAGACACACAGACAGACACACACATGGAGTGATATGGTGAAATTCTAGTTTTAGTAACAGTGATCTTAACATTTGATCAATTATATATGTCCATATTCAAATTGTCTTGGTCATATCAAAGGTCAATATACCTGTTAAGTTGCATCAAAATCTTTCTAGAAATAAACCACAATACCTCCTGCTTTGTGTAGCAGGCAGTATGATAAATATAAAAAGAACTTGACTGCATCCATACATGGTATAAAATATTAACCTCATAAATAATTTGCATATGGGAGATTTATTATCTAGAAATCAATGCTGGATGGGCAGATTTTAGTAGAGGCATAGGATATTACCTTCCTGGTAGTAACTGCTTACCTTCCAAAGGTTGTGAGGACCTTCTATTAATCTAGCCTTTGTCCCCGCATATTTCAATGCCAGATGGAGACATTCTGTACCAAAGTCAAAGTCATGATCTGTCGCCTGAAACACAAAACAATGAACAAGTTTAACCAAAAGTGGTGTCCCCTTAATATCTAAGAAAAAAGCTTTTAATATCAATTGCATATCCGGGTAAACTTACAACCCGTAAAGAATTAATTAAAGCATGAAGGAAGATTTGTGGTATTTAAGTAAATAACAGGCGTACATGTATGTATTATATCTGTCTTGTGTATGTGTTATGTTGATAAGTATGATTATTGGTTTATTTGTATGTGTAGATGGTAAATACATAATTATTTACTGTAATAGAAAGGATGGATGTATCCATATATTAATGTCTTAATATAAAGAATGTTTGCAAAACCTATATGCTATCAGGCATTTGAAGATGTGTGTGTATGGGTACGAGTGTATGTGTGTACAATTATGTGTGGTATATATGTATGACTCAAGTAATATATTTGTCATTTCGAGTGTGTGTATGATGTATTTATGAATACATAATATGTAGTTAAATTTCACATAATTGTACACTGTTTATGTTTTTGTGTTTATGTATATAGGTCTAAATTGCTAGGTACATTAGTATTTGTACTCTTTTTTTATTTCCCCAGACATTCCTTCTTAAACTAATCCAAATTACACATAAAAAAAACATCATTCAAAGTACATGAATTCGGTTTTATCTTGTTTAAATTTTAGGACAATATGGCAATCCCAAATCAATAAAGCAGAATTTTTGGCATGTAAATGAATTTATAAATATAAAAATACCGTTCAATATTTGAATATATAAAGAAGGAATGGTTGATGTAATTTAATATATCAATTTAATCAAATCAAATATTATTGTTATTGTAATGAATGAAATATACGTATGAAAGAATGAATGATTTTGAATTTGAGTATGAAAGAATGAATGAAAAAGAAAGAGAGAATGAAGAGAAAGAGGCCTTTTGCATGAGGCTATATTATGTAAGAGGGATGATTCCGGGGCACCCCAACCCTGGCATCCCTCCCAAAGATGCTGGGGGAATAAAACAATTTGAACCTTAAGACTCTTTAATATGTGATCACATGTAATCTATTTAATCGAAGGGAGATAATAATTTAATGAGAAAAAAGCCAGCTCACTTGGTTAGTTTTCTTTTTCCTTAAAGTAAATCATATTCAGCAGGGAATTTTTTTTAACTTTAGTCTGTTTTTTTTTTAATAAACCAAGAGCAGGGAAACTCCTAATTTTACACTTAATAAGTGACAATTATTTGATTTGATTTGATACAAAACCCTATGCCTTTAATTTACTGAATTCTTGCATGAAATCAATGTTTATTTTGCCTCAATATATTTAAATACTGATTACGAAACCTTTTCATATGCAGACAGAATAACAGAGAAGATGAATCCTTGTGGCATCTCACTAGCACAGTATCTGTTCCGGTCCAGTGACTCCTCTAGGTACCCACACCCATCAGAGGAGATCACTGTTGAAATCAGCGGACGGTGAACACCTGCTGCCTGAAATAAACAAGTACCATACCCAATGTTTTTTCCTTTCACAATAATGCAACATTTACAAACTATTTAAATAATACATAACAGAGTACATCTGTACACAGTCCCCTATGTAATTACAAAACATACCTAAGATATGGAGTTAAAATGATATAACAATTAGTCATAAAACAATACAAAAGCACATAACAAAAAGATTGGTCAATTGTTTAGTTACTTGGCTTAAAATATGAAATACAGGGCAATTGGAGGTTATTGTTATTTATAAGCTTGGAACGGAGCAAAAGTTTGCAAACGTTTATTTCCAAGGGCAAATCATTAAGTGATTATAGCTTTATACTTCAGAGCACCGCATTTCTTTGTGAAACAAAAATATCAGCTCCAACCATTTAAACGTCATCAATGAAAATTATCACTTATTGGTCAAAGGGACTTTTTATTCATTGATCTTCAACTCATAACCCATAATATCTGTTTCATATTTAAATACAAGTTTTCTTATGTCATGAGGATGAGAACCAAAAGTTACAGCATGCTCAATACACCATGCTTTATACACCATTCTAACAGCACTTTGGGTCATAATCATAAGTGTAAGTGTACCAGGTTTTAGCCCATTAACCCCCCAGGTACACATTTTTATCACTCATTACCATCAAAACAAATAAATTCAGTTGTATGTTTTATCTTGTAGAACGTACCCCTGTCTCTTTGGAAGCCTTGGCTACTTCCTGTATTGTACTTGCGTCAATAAACAGACGTACAGCGTCATGAATTATTACCACATCGGAGGGCTCCAAGACTACAACCAAAAAATACTTTAGACCTGTTACCTTTTATTAACAAATACAGCACATGGCTGGTTGGCTATTATAAGTTTTAAATTATCAACCAATAGTTATTGTGTTACTTTCTGTCGCTGAAATGAAGAACAACCACTATTCTGAGTTTGCATTTCAAGTGTAACTCAATTATCAAAATGCACAAAAAATAAAAACGTTAACCATTAAAACAAATTACTCCTGTACAATACTGTGAGATTTGTACAAAGTGAAGTTAGTACTGTTTAGTTTCAGGTACTTAATTAGATTATAATGAATATGTCTTTGAAGTAAATTATATTGCAGCACTAATACAGCTTAATGATATATAGTTGTCTGAGATAAGTAGACCGTCACTCTTACAGTATCTGAAATGTCAGCATTGATAATAGAGTAGCAGTAACATAACACTGTCAAAGACAGTTTTGTAGACTTCCATGTTAATTCTTAGGGTTTTGGACTCCCGTTTGCTACTCCACACCTGATTTAAGGGTCTTTACTCCATTGTATATGGATCTGTGACGGGTTTGGGCTCCCCTGACCACCATTATTTTGCTGTAGCCGTGACTCTCCACCAGTTCCTCCATATAGTCCATGTAGGGTTGGGACACTACCACAACAATGTGCTTCACACAGCTCAGTCTGTACACAAACCATAGATAAGGAATCAAATGATAATTCTATATGCATGAAAAAGGCCCAGCAAGTCTCAGCACTTGCCTTGACCATTTTAAATGTTGTAGCCTTGAAGGTTTGTTAAGCATTCTCCCTGCACCCTAGAGGAGTTATAATTTACCACTGAACAATTTCTGTGTGAAGCTGATGAATTAGAAGAGTTTAAACATATTTGAGCACTGTCACATTGAAAGTAGATCAAGGTCAATAATTTGAAGAAACTTTAAAAGTGATTCACCCCAGGCATTTATTGTACAGATGATATGATGCAAGGCCTCCTAAAAGTTGACAAAAGATTCACAGTAATTTTAAGGTACCTGAGACAGTCTGGTAAATATTCTTTTGTTATGAGACATTGCAATTTATTATAGACACATGTACCTGTGGTATTGATGGAGTGTGTAGAGAGACACTGTATCTGTGGAGTTCATGGAGTGTGTAAAGAGACACTGTATCTGTGGAATTCATGGAGTGTGTAGAGAGACACTGTACCTGTGGAATGCATGGAGTGTGCAGAGAGACACTGTACCTGTGGAATTCATGGAGTGTGTAAAGAGACACTGTATCTGTGGAATTCATGGAGTGTGTAGAGAGACACTGTATCTGTGGAATTCATCGAGTGTGTAGAGAGACACTGTATCTGTGGTATTCATGGAGTGTGCAGAGAGACACTGTACCTGTGGAATGCATGGAGTGTGCAGAGAGACACTGTACCTGTGGAATTCATGGAGTGTGCAGAAAGACACTGTACCTGTGGAATTCATGGAGTGTGTAAAGGATGATAGGTCTGTCCATCACGGGACAGAACTGTTTGGGCATGGAACTCCCAAAACGCTCCCCAGTTCCCCCAGCAGGTAGGACCACACTAACACTAACATCATCAGTGTCAGACATTGCTGGAAATAGAAAACAATATAACAGTGTTACAAAGGTCAAAAATGTTTCTAGTCACTATAAGTTTATAATGAAGGTGGTCACTCTCTAGTATGGCAATTTTCTGAATTTCACCATGAATGTTGACATACAATTTATTTCTTATAAATTTGCAAGGATATTAAAACATATATATACACAAACTTATAAATAGAGCATTAAGAAAATATATGCATGTATATATATTATACTTGGTACAATTTTGACAGGTACGTGTAGTGCAAATCTTAAACCTTCAAATCAATATTCATACACCAGCGTATATGATGTATGTATATATTGGAGGCAAGGCATAATGTTGACCCCTGATCTAGCCCGACATTAAATATTTCACCGATCCCATATACAAGTATCCATCACAGCGATTTTAAACATCTTAAGTTGTTTTTTATGCCACAGTAGACCTTTTAATTTACAGTAATTAACAGGTATAAATTCCAAATTACACTCAAGGTGAAGGCACTGAAAAAATTGGTCAGACAACAGAATTTAGCTCAGGGTCAGACTTTTAACACTGAATAATTATATATGTCTATAATAAATCTAGTATATTTGGAGAGAGAGAGAACACCAAAGAAGTATAATTAATCAATGCAAAGATCTGGACTGGGTCGCAAATATTTTGGTTGATTTGTGTTAATGTCATAATTATAAGAGTTCCGACATCCAGATCCAGGTGTAACAGGGAAATATGTGTTATCAAAGTTTTACTTTCTTAACACAAACAATGTATGTATTAAACGTGTCGCAACGTTTCAAGACCGACTGCACTCATGCAGTCACAGCTTGACAAAGGGACCAGTTGGTCTTGAAATGTTGCGACACGTTTAATATGTACATTGTTTGTGTATAAAATAAAACTTTGGTATATCAACATATTTCCAAACTGATGAATCTAATTGAAGATAAGGGAAATGTATGTTTATGTTATATGACTTTGAATTGATTTTTAAAATTATGAAAGGTCTTGGTGTGAGGTACCTAATTAGATGGTTGTGTGGTAGATGAAAGAATGTGGTGGAGGACACTTTATGTTTGCGTGTTAACCTGTATGTAAGAATGTGCGGGATTTGAGCCATACACTTCCATAATCTAGACAGACTGTCTCTTAACTAAATATTAAGCAACCTACATGCTATAGCTAGTGGTCACTGGGGATTGACCCAGCCTATTATTGCTGACAACATTATGGACTTATAATAAAACGTACATTGTTTGTGTAGAAAGTAAAACTTTGATATCACATATTTCCAAACTGAATCTTATTGAAGATAAGGTATAACCCCTTTATAATGTAGCGTTAAATTGTAAATCTACTTTTTTAAGTTGGTATGATCTATGTAATCAATGAGCTAGAGATTTTGAAGTCCTTCAGCCAAGTGAGTAAAAATTGGAGTAAAATCAGTGTATCATTGTCAACTTTTACAGCAAAAGATTCATTTAGTATAGACACGGAATTAGATTTCAACCTATTTCCATTTTAGCATCAACTTGATAATTTTCCAACATCAATATACATGTATGTTGCTTAGTACTTTTAAGTCTCTATAATGGAGTATGTTTTTTTCTCAAAATAGACTATTTGTGGAAATGATGCTTTTGTAACCTCTTATCGTATGTGAATCGGAGGTTAGTACAAATGGGGTCAAGCATGGTTAGCTTAACACAGACTGGTGTTAATGATGCTGAAACAAAAATCACATTCCATATTTTTTCACAAACATCTCAATAGCTTAATAGGCCATTTTGGATATGGTCTGATGAAGTCTACAATAAAGGTGTAGAGCTGAAAAGCTCTCCAAAAACAGATAGTACCGAACTTAGTTAAACTGACCGTGTTTTCTCGATATGTAAATATCCAGGAAAAAAAGGATATTTCAGCATCTAACGTCAGCGCTTTTATAAATTAAGTGGGCCATCACTAGAAAAATCAATATTCCTTTTCCGATCACAAAGAAGCAATCAAATTTTAAGCGATTATGTATACAGTATCGTTTAGAATATGTTTAAAACTGTTACAGTGTGGGACCGGAAATAGGTTTTCTTCTTCTTTTCATGTCAACATATTTGATTGGTCGTTGGAGCTGACCTTGAGCCAATCAAATCTAACGTCTTTTGTAATCCTAGGCACAACGTCAAATATGGCCGACGACGAAACAACAGAAAAACCTGTGTGCAGTTTTTTCAAGAAAAGAGGTCGACAGCAAACACGACGGAGGAAACACAGTGACTCTAACAGTAATACGGATATACCGCATTATGTATACAATTCAATGGCTGCCTCAATGAATATATTGTCACAATTTGTCATTCTTCTCGCATAACTGTCGTAACGGTAGAGTTTTTCTTGGTTTATCAGGTTGGGCCACAGGCACTACAGTACTGATCAGTAGCCTCGTCTGTTAATACACCTATATGTATAATATAATCAAGGTTGCTAACTCTGTCCCCCTAGTAAAATGACCAAATCCCAGAAAACATGTGATTTTGTCATAACCGTTCATAGAATGATCGACAGATTTTTCTTTCTTTAATTTGATGTATGATTTGCCATACTGTATATAATGCAGTAAAATTTTCGTTAGACTTCATGAATCATCGAAAAATGAAAGTTGAATTTTACTTGGTCGGACACTGGTGTCCACAGGATGACACGCTTAATCCCAAGTTGCAAAACACACGGCATGTCTGCTATTCAATGTCAGTACGGTGTTTCTACGATGGGAAACAAACTTACTTGTATGATAGTTCATGGCCTTACATTATCATGTTGGACACCAGAGTCCAGTTTTCAAGCTGGTCAGGCCGACAATCGGAACAGAGCCGGCCATTTTCTCTAACTTTTGTGACCTCGACTGATTGGCTTCTGAATTTAATGGTCTCCATATATACTACTCCGACGAATTACTTAGAATCAAAACTGTTCTTGAAAATGGACCATCAAGAGGTGTTTATGTCAAGAATCAAGAACATTAATTTCAAACAAAAGATCTGGATTTTTAAATATCACTGAGAAACTGTCATTTGAAATTGTGCAGTACCGGTATAGTGCTCTGATGTACGTAGCTTCTTCCTAGGGTATATGTTTATGTGTGCTGTGACTCATATCGGCATATAGGACTTGTGTATTTCAGACATTTGTACGAACCCTTGTGGTTATAATCAGAACACTAATATTTAGGTCTCTACTATTAAGAAATAATGCTGATATATAGCGGTTCCCCGCCAAGTTTGGGGACATGTTTCTCTCATAATGTTCATATTTAATCTGAAAAAAATGCATTTTCCCTTGGAAAATACATCATGTGTGTTCCCCATGGGGAAAAAATAGGAAACAATTGCCATGGAGCATGACGTCAAAAAGCATTGTTACGTGATGTCATAAATCAAAGATTGACCAATGAAATCACGTCCAGAGTGTTTAATTACCCACAAGTGGGTAACCAAAAATGTTAACCAACTCCTACCAGGTTTATCCGATGGGTCATGGGTGAGGAAACCTATAGTGATTGTGCAAGAATTCCAATTCCCCTCCCTTTCGGTAATCTAATCCTATTTATCATGAACGTTTTTTGTTCTTTTTTTTTACAGTCGAATTCAGGCTGCCTCTCCAATATACAGCTCCTTTCAGAAAGTTAAGATACCGTAGTTTTCACGGTGTCATTTACTTCCGGGTTACTTTTTAAATGGGGCATATCTCGCAGAGTATGTAAGGGTTATACCCCTTCTCCCACACAATTACTCAAGCGATGCTATATGCAAATGGTCATGAATAGGTTACCAGAAGTGATTGGTCGTCTACAAAAAAACCAGTTGTCTGTTGTGAACAGATGCCGGCCAAAATGAGAGAACTGTCTATATCAGAGAAAAGTGTCATCAAATCTTTGCACAAACAGGACACCCTCTTCCAACAATATATGGTGTTTTACGACGTATTGTGAAGAAGGATCGATTGAAAAAAGAGAGAGACGTGACTGACACTCCAAGCTCACTGAACGGGATTCTCGTCAACTTTGTGGTATTGTAAAATCAAAAAGAAGGAGATCTCTGGGTGAAATTACTAATATTTTTTAATGAGTTTAGACTTGAAACCATTTCTAAACATACTATAAAAAGAAGATTAGATGAGAAAAAAAAATAAAGGCGTGTTGCAAAGCTAACCTTAAAAAACGTCGCGCTTGGTGTAAACTAAATAGATATCAAACTGTACGTGTTGATGGTAACTGGAAAAAACTGATATTTAGTGATGAGTGTAAGATCGAATTGGGCATGGACAACTGTATTTTGGTATAGCGATAGCCCAGTGAAGAATGGACCCACTGGTGTCTGAACCCAGGACATGGACAACGACTGTCTATGATGATCTGATCATGAGGTTGTATAACCTACAAAGGCCTTAGGAGTAGGTACTTTAACTGTTGTAGATGGTTACATAAATGGTAAAAATAGATAGAAATTGTTGACAACTTTGTGTGGCCTGTTATAGCACACCGTTTCCCAAATAACGACTGTGTTTCAAGATTGCAATGCTCTGGTACATCGTGCTCGTGTGGTGAACAATTAATTTGAGGAAAATAGACTCAATGTTATGGAAAGGCCAGCCTCGAGTCGGGACCTTTATATAATTGAAAACATTTGGAGAAAAATTAAGATTGAACTAAAGAAACAAGCCCACAACATCACCACTCGTGTAATTTTGGAGGATGAAATTCGCACAATATGGACAGAAATATCCCTGGAATTCATCAAAAAACTGTACAAAACAATCCCAAAGCGCATGAATGCAGTAATCAAAGCCAAGGGATGAATCACAAAGTATTAAGTAAGTTTTAGTCATGATAATTACATAGCTAATGACTTTTAATTTCCGAGGTGTCAAGCTAACAAAAATGACATCCATCTTGGATTTATCTTTACTTTTAAAATTTGGCACGGCACTGTATATGAAACATTTCAATTTAGCATTGCATTTGATTCTTTCATATCTAGCTCTGACATAGTATAAAAAGTAGTAAATACCTATATCTGCAGTATTGCTGTCAGTAGTAGTGCCGACTGCTTGTGTTGCTCCAGGTCGAGGTTCTTCGACAGTGCGTTGAAGTTCTTGAAGAGAGTCCTCGATGTCTGCTTAGGTATTCGCCGACAAAGACGGTGCAATTCTTCTCAAGTTGGTAATAGACTACGTAGAATCTTCTGTCCGGGTTATCTTGACCAAGTTGCCTTGTCACAGTGATAACATTTCTTATAAACGCCTGTAGAACTCAGTCCGCCTCCATTACAAATTCGAAATTGGATGCAAAAACTGTGATGCATCAATATTAGAGAGACTGGAAGGCAATTTGGGGTCCTCCTTGGTGAACATCATAAAGATACAGAAACCCAAGAAGGTAGGAAATTCAACGGATCAGAAAGAAAACAGTCAGAGTCCAAGGTAAATAAATTGGCAATCACAGACCATGCCACACAGAAAAATCATGTGATTGACTGGGATAACTCCAAAGTTTTGGACAGAGAAAGCAATCTGTTCAAGCGGCAAATAAAGGAAGCCATCAGGATACGCTGCAGTGGGCCAGTTCTAAATCGAGACGAGGGGGCTCAAAGACTCTCGCACATCTATGACCAGTATTAAACAAAGCGTAGCTGAATCGAGTCATTTCAGCGTATATATAATAACTATTGTGCATACGCTTACAGCGTAGCCGAATTGACCTCAATTTTTGTTGACAACTTGTACACATTTTACACCTTTGTGTGCATACGCTTCACTGGTCATTTGTCTGATGAAGGTGACAGTGTACATATTGTACTAGTCATCGAAACGTCACATAGGAAAACTAATTGGTTGTGTAAAAATAACTTTTCATAATCCATACATACCAACCTAAAGAAAATGTTTAGAAATATCATAATGTAGGTATCATACAAATAATCAAATAGTTTTGTCAATACAATGTATTCATCAACTTTTATTTTACACGCTCTGATCAAATATATAGCAAAGGAATTTAATTGAGACTGTCACACCGTTTAGCTTGCCTAATTCTATAGATAATCATATGGTAACAAGGGTTTGAACATTGTCACATTGTTATGCTTGTATAATTATACATTTATTATAATACACCATCAGATTAAATTGCCACCATACTTTATTTCATTATCCACAGGAATGCAGCTAGTTTAAATTCATAGTAGAGGAGTACATTGGTGATAATTAACAACAAAGTCAGCTCAAATCAGATAATTGTTTCTGTTTCTCAAGGTTACATGTACTTGTTGATCCATTTTCATCGAGGAGTGACAATTTGACAAGAAACATCATAAAGGGATCAAATTTGTTGTCGGATATAGCATTCTTTGATAATCAAAACAACTTTAGATTACTGTTGATGTTTTTTAGTCCATTGATCTGAAAGCATTTTATAAGTCTATATGATAGTTGTACCCCGTACATTTCATAGTAATGTCTTCAGGTGACAGTAACAGTGAGGATGGAACGATAGTCAAGAAAAAGGAAAAGAAAAACTTCGTCAAGAATCCGATGATGCAAACAGTATGTTTTTTTCCTTATTTCTACCATGTGTCCATTTGCCTTGCTAGAGTGTATGAATTCATTTGTTATAAAAATGTGAAATTGTTATGACTTCAGCAAGCTGTTTGCAGTGACCATCTACTATCACTGTTTTCATAATTACAGAAATTACAAGATTTGATGCACCTCTCCTGGGATGAAAAAAAATATATTTGCAAATGTCCAGTTATTCTTACCCAAAATTAGCCTGAACAACATCAAACTAATTGCAATAAATTAATGATTATATTTTTATATTGATGATTATCTACATTAAAACAGAAAACAAATTACCAAAATCAACCTTGAAGAAAATAGTTTTGTTTTCATCCTCTTTGGGATCAAGAAAATAATTGAAATGAAATCACATACATACAAATGTAGCATTGGACCAGCTTTGAATGTAAGGTCTACCTTTTATGCTTATAGAGAATTAAACATGTGGGGAGAAAAACAAGTGTATATAATGTAGATTTACATAAAAGTGGCATCATGTCGGAGTGCATTGAAAAAAGACAAATCTTCAATATGGCTTGAAAGCATTTGTGAAATCAAAGATTTTTGCTTTTGTGCTTTTGTGCCTTTTTAAAAAAGTTGTCTTTATAATTGTCTTTTTATAAAAATACTATTAGCAGATCCGAATAGGAATATTGGTTTCTAACTAATTGATTAATATATTGTATCTTCATTTGCTTTCATACATAAATAATGATGCTTTAGTTTCACACACAAAAACCCCGCAAACTTACATGTAGCAAGCAGGGCTGATTTAGATCAATTTTCAAGACCAAATTGAAAGAAATACCCATTCCTGTAACTGTTGATGAACATTTTATGTGTACATGAATTGTTAAGCTCCTGTTATTGTTTTATTTGTCTAGGACCAATATATAATACACATATTCCATTTACTATTTGATGTATATGTTACTGTTACACAGACGGGAAGGTTGAAGGCCAGTAATGACCACCAGTACAGCAGTGACAGTGACGAAGACAAGATGACTGTCAGCTTCAAGTCATCACGGTCAGGGGTATGTTAACAGTCAACCTTAAGTCAGAGATAAGCAGTATCTGCTACAGTTCTATAGTATACAGTTATTGTAATACAATGCTTAGATGTCTGGCTCTAGTTTCCTCCATTATCATTCAGACCTGAGCCTCGATCCCAGTACACCAAGGTTCAAAAGCTGTCAAATACTGAAAACCTCAGATCTGATTGATTGGGGCTTGTAAACGAGGAATAACTCTTCATCCTTACATAACTGTTATGGAAATTAAATGAAATATTGCTTTGATTTTAATAATCTTGCACAAGGAAAGCCAACAAAACATTATATTACTAACACGTTTTACTTTTCAGAAACGAGAAGGTCCAACAGACATGGGGGCAACATCTATTGTGGAGATTGACACAGCATTAGATCAAGATGCCCAAGCAATATTTGAGAAATCACAACTGATCAATAAGGTAATGAAGCACATTTTAGAGTTATTTGATCAATGCTTTTTTTCTGGAACATTAATGTGTATGGTACCTGTATTATATACTGAAAAAAAAAAGAAACACACAATTAAATTATGCAATCAATAGCATAGCTATGATATTTTGGGAAATTTGTACAAAATTTTATATCAATATGAAGGGACAAGTCTACTCTTTACAATACTGTAGACGAAAAGTCTGTGTGACATCACTCATGTCATTAGTAGTTACTCAAAGTGGGATACCCGCGAAAAACAAAATGACACTTCAGTACCTGGTGTGGGCACCTTTTGCATGAATCCCTGTACGGATTCTCCTATGCATTGAATTCATGAGAACATTTATTCACCTTAAGGGAATCTTGTTCCATTCTTGTGTTAATGCTGCGATCAACTAGGCGCGGTTAGTTGGGGGGGTTGTGACGTTTCCTAATACGCCTGTCCAGCTCATCCCACAGATTCTCAATGGTAGACATGTCGGGGCTATATGGGGGCCATCCCAGAGGCTGAACGTTGCTTGCCGTGAGAAAATCACGACAGACTCTGACAATATGCGGTCGAGCATTGTCTTGCTGGAAAATTAGGTTATGATGTCTGAGAAGTGGAAGGTCATGTGGTTGGAGGATCTGGTCTCTGTATCGAACGGCATTGAGGATTTGATCCAGGACCACTAAGGGGGATTTTACCCCATGGGAGATGCCTCCTCAAATCATTACAGAAGCCCCACCGAATCTATCGCGTTCAGCCACGCATGCGTCGGCGTGCGATATACCCTTTTTCTTCTGTCTGAGCGATACAGACAGAATCTAGACTTGTCGGTGAACATCACATGCCTCCATCAACGCATCCCAAACCTATTGGGGCCATGTCTGCGCATCCAGTCAAGACGCACTTGCCGCCTCCGTGGTGTCAGAGGTGGTCCAACATAAGGTCGGCGCGCAATGATTCTCTTGGCACGCAAGCGGTTCCTGGCAGTTTGAGGACAAATGGGTCACACAATGACATTGTCACGCTTGGTTGATTTTAGGGTAGATTGTTGAGAAGGGAGATCGTTCTTGATGTAATACCTGACCAAATATTCCATTATTTCCTTACAGCTAAGGTGTACTGCAGGGGGGGGGGGGGGGGGGAACTTTGTGCATTTTTTTTTTTGTTCAGTATAGATACTTTTCATATTTTGCTAATACAAGATTGATAGCTAGATTAATTATACTCCAGCTTTTGACAAAGTTGGGGGAGTATAGCATTAGGTGTGTGTGTGTGTGTGTCCACCCTAGCTTCTGGAGAAATCTTGGCCACTGTTTCATTTGTAGCAGAATTGAACTGGGTTCTTTATGGGCAACCAAGTAGCTCAATTGGTAGAGCTTCTGTCTAGGGTCTGGTGTTTAAATCCTAGCCTGGCCATTCATTTTTCTTCTCCTGGGCCCCATAACCTTGTCAGTGTATGTTACACCTCGTTATCGTTTGTGTTGCACTTAATATGGCACACATAACCTTGTTTATGTGTTTGTTACACCTAATATGACCCATATAATCTTTTCATTGTGTATGTTATAACTGACATGGCTCCATAACCTTGTCAATGTGTTATACCTGACAACCTCACTTATTAGCTCACCTGGATTGTGGGTTCGCCCCACGGCACGGCAATGTGTTGTATCTTTGAGCAAGATACTTTACTCCGCTTGTTCCAGTCTACTCAGCTGTAAATGCTAGCTGTTAGCGCCGAAATGGCAGCTCCGGCTGTATGCTCCCCAGGGAGTTGATAAATGTATCAGCTAGTTACAAAGGCCCTATAACCACGGATAATAATTTGTGAACCACTTTGAGACGACCTACGAACTAGGTTCTGATAAAGCGGTATATAAGAACCTCCAATTATTACTATTATCAGAGCTCACGCTGTCGGTAGCCAAAGTAGCCATTTGCTACTTTTATTTTTTATTGGCTAATAAAAATTTGATGTGGCTACTAAATTGACGACTAAGTTTTTAAAAATGGGGAAACTCTGTATCTTTGTCGCAGAAAACGATCCGTCTACTCGAGCTCACGTGTGTATTGTGGCTGACACTGAATGCGTAAACACAATCAGGGCCGTCACAGAACAGCGCGCGCTGTACGACTGCGAGTTAATTAATGCTTTTGTCTAAGTTGTAAAGTTGATTATCAAGCTTCAGATGGCAAAAGGTGTTATAATTCTTGTACAATAACTATGTACAGTGGGGTCAAGTTAATTGGATGACCCTTTGACGTTGAGAAAACAGTCTGATAAGTGAGTCACACATAGGTGGTCTCGCACACGGTCATTTGACGGCGCCGTAAGCCGATCTGATGAACTCGTTCAAACACCGCATCCAACAAATTTACGGGTTCAGTATATCTAAATTAGTGTACATGGTATTCATTTACCTTTTCCAGTACCGTAGTAAGCACAAATACGTCCGATATGCTTGATAAGAAAGTATAAGTATCGCCTTGAAACACCATGTCGATGTGCCGATTTTCGGCCTTTCAGATAACTTCAAACGATAGGCCCTATATCGTATCTGACTGTGTACTTTCGTTGTTAGACGTTTTAGAATTTCAAGTGATCGAGAAAAGTTATTTAGCATCGCAGTTATGCAGTTTTTAGAACAGCAAACTGTTCAGAATTACTTCGACGGTCGCTTGTATTAGGTGCCAATCGACTGCACGGGAATGGCCAAGTTGCGCGACGTGGTGTGCTCCCGATTTATTTCGAAGGGTTGGTCAATACCGTTATAAATTCGTCCTTTTCCTTTCAAATGTGTTCTACTGCCATTTGCATTTGAAATGTGTGATCTTTTTAAATATATTTATATATATTTTTTTTACATAAAACATGAATTACGGTGAATGTAAACAAAGGAAAAATAATTATCAATATTGCATCACTGAGGCTACTTTTGATTTGGATTTTATTAGTTTTATTTGTTGATTGAAGGCACGGAATTAAAGGCGAATAATATCTTATTTTTCAAGCTAGATTTTTTCACAATTCCTGTGTCAAGGAAATGAGATAAAGGCTGATTTTTCTCTCTCTTGAAAAAATAAATAAAAAAGTTCTGGTGGAAATTTTCATCATTTTAATTTAAGTTATATTTTCTTAAAATTACAGCCATGTAATCTGAAAGGATTAAAAAAATATCACATTATGGATTAAATTATAAACATGATGTTTAACATTTTTTTTAATTTAACAGAGTACTGCTTAATTTAACATCATATTGAATAGTATTGCACTTCAAAAAATATTAAATATTTAATGATTTTAATGGGGCGCCTATCCGTAACGGTTGGGGGTCGAGAAAGTATGGCCACTGTTTAAAAAAAATTGGCTACTGAAATTCAAACATGGCTACTTTTTTGGCTACTGATTTTTTAGGTCCAGGGTGAGTCCTGATTATTGCCTGGTCCGAAGGACCAAGGTGAGCTTATGCCATACTTGGCGTCAATCGTCCGTCAACAATTTCTTTAAACGACTTCTTCTTAACCACTGATTGGAATTTAACTAAATTTGACTGGAAGCATCCCTAGGTGGTGGGGATTCAAAATTGTACAAATGGTGGGGCTGAGGGGTGGGGCAAAAAGGGAGCAATTTGGCTATATTGCTTTAAGCAACTTCTCCTCTGGAACTAAGAGATATATATCAACCATATTTGACTGGAAGCATCCCTAGGTGGTGGGGATTCAAAATTGCACAAATGGTGGGGCTGAACCCTCAGGGGGCTGAGGGTGGAGCCAAAAGGGGGCAATTTGGCTATATTGCTATAAATGACTTCTTCTGTAGAACAATGCACTGGATATCAATCATATTTAATCAAAAGCATTCATGGGAGGCAGGGTTTCAAAATTGTACAAATGGTGGGGCTGAGGGGTGGGGCAAAAAGGGAGCAATTTGGCTATATTGCTTTAAGCAACTTCTCCTCTGGAACTAAGAGATATATATCAACCATATTTGACTGGAAGCATCCCTAGGTGGTGGGGATTCAAAATTGTACAAATGGTGTGACTGAGAGCAGGGCCAAAAAGGGTTATTTGGCTATATTACTTTAAACAACTTCTTCTCTGGAACTAAGAGATATATATCAACCATATTAGACTGGAAGCATCCCTAGGTGGTGGGGATTCAAAATTGTACAAATGGTGGGGCTGAACCCTCAGGGGGCTGAGGGCGGAGCCAAAAGGGGGCAATTTGGCTATATTGCTATAAACGACTTCTTCTGTAGAACTATGCCATGGATATCGATCATATTTGGTCGGAAGCATTCATTGGAGGCAGGGTTTCAAAATTGTACAAATGGTGGGGCTGAACCCCCCGTGCTAAGGGGTGGGGCCAAAAAAAGTCTATTACTTGGAAATGGTTGAGATCCCCACCATATTTACAATTGCTGTGTATAAAGAGAAGAATGCACATTTGCTTCCAGGATGGCCCTAGGGTCTGGCCCCACCCTTTGAGACCCTAGGCCATAACTTTAAAACGGTTGAGATCCCCACCCCAAAACTATATATACAAATGCTGCGCATAAAGAGACGAATGCAGTCATTATATTAGAATAGACCCTGGGGTCTGACCGAACCTTTAGGGACCTTGTTTCTTAGTCTCAGCTTGGAAACAGTTGAGATCCCCACCCTATAACCATATATACTATTGATGAGTATAAAGAGATGAATGCACATATGCTTCCAGGATGGCCTTGGGGACTGCCCCATCCTTGGAGATTTAACCCCTGGGTCATAACTTTGAAATGGTTAAGATCCCCACCCCAAAACTATATATACAATTGTTGGGCAAAAAGAGACAAATGCAGTCATGATATTAGAATTGAGCCTGGGGTCTGGCCACAACCCTAGGGACCTAGTTTCTGAGTCACAGCTTGGAAACAGTTGAGATCCCCACCCCATTACCATAAATAAAATTGCTGGGCATGAAAATACTAATACAGATATGCTACAAGGATTGGCCTTGGGGTCTGGCATATTCCCTTGGATCTCCTTTGGAAAATGTTTTGCCATTATTGCTTAGATATCCAGGTGTGCGATACAGACCCTCTGGGCCTCTTGTCTTTAAAGAGTTTTGCTATTTATCCCACATGACCCCTATAACATGGTCAGCTTTTGCTATTTACAAGATATAACCATCATAACCTTGACTTTATTCATAGGATGGTAAGGGTAAGGAGGATGACAAGGTATACAAAGGAATTAACAACTACCAGGTGTTTTATGAGAAGCGGGACACAGCACAGGGTAATGCCTCCAGTGGGAGTGTCAGGTATGCTGATTTTTCCTATATGTGTTAACCACTCAATCATAACAAACAAAGAAATACATTCAAAGACATTAATCCATGTAAATTTATATTTTAATTGCTTGTCAATGTTTGTTTTCATTGAAACAAATATCTCAAAACCTGAAATCCAAGATGGTCACCACCCATTGCTTCTGATTGGCATATTCATATAATGGCTACAACTCTACTTGTATTGACATATAAGGCTGATACAAGTTGGCATACTGTATTTAGTGGATATATAGTCTACATTTTTAGCCCATCATCATCTGATGGTGGGCTATTCAAAATGCCCTGCGCCCTTGGTCTGTGGTCCATCCGTCCGCCCGTCCGTCAGCCGTCCTTAAACAATTCTTATTATCACTATTTCTCAGGAAGTACTTAAGAGATCTTTCTCAAATTTTATATGTAGGTTCCCCTTGGTCCCTTGTTGTGCAGGGCAACTTTTGAGAGTGATCGGTTAAACAAAATGGCCGACAGGCAGCCATCTTAGATTTTGACAGTGAAGGTTTGTTATGGCTATTACTCAGGAAGTATTGGGGAGATCCATCTTAAATTATATATGTAGGTTCCCCTTGGTCTGTAGTTGAGCATGTTTAATTTTGAGACTGATCGTATATAAAAAATGGCCGACAGGCCACCATGTTGGATTGTGACAATAAAGGTTTGTTATCACTATTTCTCAGAAAGTACAGGAGGGATCTTTTCCAAGTTTGTTATGTAGGTTCCCCTAGGTCTGTAGTTGTAGGTTTTCCTTGGTCCCTCGTTGTGCAGGTTAACTTTTGAGACTGATCTGATAAACAAAATGGCCGACAGACAGCCATCTTGGTTTTTGACAGTGAAGGTTTGTTATGGCTTTTACTCAAAAAGTACTGGAGAGATCTTTCTTAAATTTTTCATGTAGGTTCCCTTTGGTATTAAGTTATGCAAATTTCCGTATGAGACTGATCGGATAAATAAATCTTTGATTTTGACAGTTAAGGTTTGTAAGTGCTATTTCCCAGGGAGTACTGGAGGGTGCTTTCTCAAATTCTATATGCAGGTTCCCCACTATCCTTTATTGTTCATGTTTACTTTTGAAACTAATCAGATAAACAAAATGGCCGACCGACAGCCATCTTCGATTTTCTCAGAAATAACTTGAGGGATCGGTCTCAAGTTTGATATGTACGTTCCCCTTGATCCCTCGTTGTGCATGTTATATTTTGAGACTGATCATAAAAACAAAACCGCTAAAGGAAGAACTAAAGAGATCTTTCTTATATTGAAATGATCGATTCTATTTCTTTCACATTAAGTACTGTGCTAGTAACTAGTACTATGTGAAATGACAAACTCCTTTTGAAGGTTGTCTATTATACACAGCAGTATTTAGTTTAGATCAAAAGCTACCTCAAGGTGCATTTACTGTTAACATGACTCGATCAAACAGATTAAAGAAAAGAAGAAAAAAGATCACACTGACAAAGATCTCATAAAGATGGTACAATGGTGGGCGCCAAGATCCGTCTGGGATCTCTTGTTTATAAATATATTACCGTTATCGGGATCTAATGAAACAAGATGGCTATCATAGCTGCTGATCGGTTTAGATAGAGTCAGGTAATAACTTCTTTCTGCTTGTCCGGTTTTGTTCATTCATATTGGTAATTGGTATTTTTCGGATAACATATGTGTGCACCTTTGAAGTACAAATATCCCAAAATCAGAAAGTAAGTGAGTTTGAAGACTATGTGAAATGTCCTGGAATGTCAATCACAGCACATCAACACTTCATGTAGTTGTGCCTAACAACAGTCCTTAACAACAACTTTCAGATCTTATTTGGAATGCAGGGCAATTTTAATCTGTGATGTATAAAACATTTCTTGTATTAATATTTGAGAGTATTGGTCTTTTAGAAAAGGGCCTATTCGTGCCCCAGCCAACCTTCGTGCCACAGTGAGATGGGATTACCAGCCTGATATCTGTAAAGATTATAAGGAGACAGGATTCTGTGGCTTTGGGGGTCAGTATGAAATGTACAGTCTATTTGTACCATATTCTCTCCAGAGTTAAACTGATTTCAAGCTGCTTTTAAGATTTTCATAGCCAGAGCTTAAGATAAACTGTATCTTTGTCTGGGAGCATTCATTCACAGATCCAGATATCAATCTTGGGGGGATCCTATATATTCCTTCAGGGGATACANCTGTGTACGTACATATGTAACACCAATGTTTGTCAGCGCTCTAGCGGCTTCATTCCTTGAGGGACTTCATACAATTACAAAGGACCATAATTAATCTCTGACAAGTTCAATTTTCAGGGTTGTTGTGTCAAGGTTGCCGTTACTATTTTTAGAAATTCATTGTCAGCGCTCTAGCGGCTTCATTCCTTGAGGGATTTTTTAACACCAAAGGGCACCATTTTTATAAATCATTACAGTGTAATAGCTAGCGTGGGCCGGTAGGGGACATGTATTGCTTTATCAATACTCAGTATGCTTGCAATTGTTTCCCTATATCCCTATTGTTCCTAGCTGCAAGGAAAAGATCAATGTTTAGCCAAAGATTAAGATCAATCTGCTAAAATTGTACATCTTGATACTTTTGTAATTAACCAAAACAAAGATAACATGCATTTAAGTATTGAATGTATTTTATCTGATTTTGTAAGTGTACAAAAACGTTTTTCTATTAATCCACATCAAGTAAATACATGTACCAGAGGAGACTATAAGTTTGTAGTTTGTCCGTCCAAAAATTGCAAATACTATATATTTGCTTATAGTTAATAGTACACTGTATTGGTCATTATATGTGGTTGAACACTGGGAAAATTCATTTCAAAACGCCATAGGACAAACATTTTGCAAAGAGAAAAAAACTGTTCTTTTTCTTCCCTTTTGTTTAAGGTCATTGGAGTGTATTGATAAACAGAAGTAGGAAGTACATCCCTAGTTGAAAATCCAATGTAGGGAGACAGTATCACAATTTCGGCATATTCTAATGTTTAATATTAAACTGATGAATATTGTATGTTTATTATTGACAGAACAGTGTTTTCTCTCAATGTTAAAGTATTTCGAAGCAATGCAGGCATTAATTCAGGTGGTTTTTTTTATCAATGAGCCACATGTATCCATTTTTCTGTACTTCAGGAAACCGGCTACCTATTTCACTACTTTGAATTTTTTCAAGAAAGATAACTCTTACCTGCAATTACTTTGTGCATATGGTTTTATTATAAAATGTCAATTTTTAATCGTTTATTGATAATTTATTTGACATAATTTCAGCATTTATTAAATTGATATACATTAATGCAAAGCTAATTTATGGCAGTATCATTTTTATTGACATTATTTTGCAAAATATTATTTTTTTTTTTTTTTTTTCAAAAGTCAATCCTTTTTACATAAATTTCCATCTAAATTCCTTAAAATTCTGACAACCTATATTTTTTTTGTGGCAGAAAATTTTCTTTACTTCAAAGCAATATAACTAGAACATTTGAATAAATTCTACTGAGAAATGGCGACACAATCCTATTACCTTAAATGTTGTTCTGCATAAAATCTAACATAATTTAAGTACAATTTTTCAAATATTCTTTGAGTTTGCCTTAAAATATTTCAGTGATTTTTGTATCATTTCCCACAGGGGCATGTGCTTTGAAATTTTGGGAAAATTTCACATACACAAAAAAATATGTCTTTGGAAAAATAAAGTGACTTTTGCAATAATTCGGGGAAAATAAAAACAGGAAATATCTAGGGGAAGAGCCTTACAACTACCCCAAGTTCACCCTAAAAACAATCACAGAATATAAATTAGGAGTGTTGATTTATACTTATAAATTTAGTTGTGGTTAGCATTTTTAGATTGCTGTTTTTAAAACTGTTTGTTAATGGATGCATAAATCTAACCTTTGTTCATATCGTAATGAAAATATTTCAGATTCATGCAAGTTTTTTCATGACCGAGGTGACTATAAGCATGGCTGGCAGTTGGAACGAGAGATGGAAGAAGGGAGGTACGGAAAGAATGGTAAGGTGATAGTCATTGCAATCCTATGAACATATTGGTGGTTCTTCACTCTGATCTGTGGGGGTTGTAAGATATGCTCACTTGGAAAATATCAATAAAATTGTTCTAATAGTTCTGAGACAGACCGAAGATTACTTGTAATTAAAATATATTTCATGGCCTGCTGATTTTGAGTGAAAATGTTCAAAATTAAAAACTTATTGTTTTCATACATGTAAATAAGTACTATATTATGCAACAGGATCATTTTGTATGTGGTGTTGTATTTTGCAGATGAGGGGAACTACGAGATAAGTAGTGATGAAGAAGAAATGCCATTCAAGTGTTTCATCTGTCGAAATTTTTTCACTGACCCAATAGTGACAAAGTAAGCTCTGCTATGTACTGAATGTACCTACTGATAAGTGGTTACTCTGGCAATTTATCTTTATCCTCGCTACAACATCGGGGAAGAACATAATAATGAATTATGACTGTCTCTCTCTGTGTACATCCTAGTTGAAATATTTTGACATCTTATTATCAAATGGAGATAACTAATATATGAAAGCACTCTTTGTATTTATAACTAGTTAAACATTTTATTTTGTGCTTTACTTCATCACCACATGAACGAAGATGTACTAATGTGTAGGAGTTACTGCCCCTTTTCAACTTGAACAAGCATATCCCATCACATTTAAATGATATAATTGCTCTACTCTTGTTTTTATGTTGCCTGCTATAGCAAAGTAATATAAAGGGATCACTCCATCATCACTTGTTCCCTTGGTAATGACAATTGTATAGCTTGTATGTGTTTCAGATGTAAACACTACTTCTGTGAGAAATGTGCCCTCAGCCAGTATAAAAAGACCAAGAGATGTTTTGTGTGTGGGGAACAGACCATGGGAGTGTTTAACCCGGCGAAAGGTTTGTTTCACCTCCCCTTTACCCAGTTGTCTCCCCCTTCCTGATCATTTCTCCCCAAAGAAATAATCTCAGGGAGGCAACATCTTCCCCTGTTGAAATCTCCCGTCGTCTCTTCTTTTCGAAGAAACTCTATTTCTATCACCCCTATTCAAGAATTTACCTTTTTGTACATATCTCTTGACACGTTTTGTTGATTATGATTTCCTTCGTAATTTGTATTTGTATTTGTAAAGATAGATTAATCGGGAAGATCTCTCCACTTTGTATATATGGAAGTTGACACAAAGTACTTTGTAAATATGGACATTATTTAGACCAAAACAACAAGCAATGGTTATAGAAAATTAAACATTTTACTGTCTTGTGATTCTGACTGCTGTATCAATCATATTACCTTGCTTTGCACAGTAAAAGTTTTGAAAAACAAGAAAATTTCAATTGTGTGTTTTACTAAATATTTGTTTGTATCATGAAATCTTGAACTTTCCTCCCATGTTTAGGCTGTTGGTGGAAAAAAACATTTGTCAGAGATCACATGTTATATCTTGAATAAGGGAGCCCATGATTACTTGTCTTTGTATTTCTCTTCGCAGATGTGATCGCTAAAATGAAAAAAGGAAACATACATAAAGACAATGTAGATACCCGGGATCAAAGTGGAGGCGGAGGAAGTGATGATAGTGACTAACTGTGCCTGATTCAGTGTGTGAGAAATCAAAGGCAGACAGACTGGAAATGTACTTTGAAAATCTTTATTTCGATGAAGTGTGAAAGTGGGTGACAATGGTGAATTTGTCATTGATTCATGTGACTTACCTTCAGAGCAGAAGCTGGTGACTTTGTGATACAGAATGAAGACATCTGTATTTGTTGCTTTTGAAGAATATATTGGTATTGCTTAGAGATAAAACAATCCAGATATGTGTTCATTTTTATTGTTGAAACAGTTGATCAACCACTTTGCAAATTTTGGAGATTTTTTATAAAATATCTATACACGTAACTACAGAAAAAATATTCCTATTTCTAAATCTAAGAATTGTGGTCCGTCAATTTTCTCCACTGAAATAAAGAAATAACATGTAGTAAACAGAGATGCCCTAGATATCACAAGAACTTAATACACATGTAGTTCCATGTTTCACTACAGGACTGCTTTCTTTGTCTGTGGTTAATGTAAAATTGCACCAAAAAACTAAATTCATATGTACAATGAAAATAGATATGTATTAAAAGTGATTTTATTGACTTGTATATATTGATGTCAATGACCCAGGCAACACACCTGTTAGTACAGTATAACCTGTCTAAAGCGGATGTCACCAGGCGCCCAGTTTATACAGGGTCGGAATGTATTTTTTTTGAAAATATAGATCGTCAACATTAACAACAGAGAATTGGATCAATTGCAACGTTTTATTATTTACAAAATATACAGTTTATAATACCAAAGAAGGGTAACCCAACATTGGATAGCGCTAATTTGTTTAGAATGTGTTTGCTTTTAGATGGTAGCCGGCCCAGAGAAATTTTGGTACTGGTGTAACAGCCACTTCTTTCCCCCCCCACTGAAAGTTTCCCCGGGGAAAGAGAAATCAGCTAGTGGATTCTTTCCCCGGCGGAAGAAATTAGCTAGCTGATTCTTTCCCCCTAGGGAAAATAACAACTAGACAATTTTTCCCTTCCAGTGAAAATAACTAGCTGATTTTTTCCCTCTCTTTTTTTTTTTTTTTGTATTGATTTTTAGGGAGGAGCAAACTATTAGCATGCAGATTTTCCTCCTGATATTGATATTTTAAGGAGGGGGAACTACTGGCTGGTTGATTCTCCACCCCCTTTTTGTGGGTGGATGGGGGAGGGAACTATTGGCTAGCTGCATCTTCCCCCTCTCTGTATTAGTAACCAGGGGGAAACTATTGGCTAGCTGATTCTTTCCCCTTTTGTATAAGTAACTAAGGGGAAACTAATGGCTAGCTGATTCTTTCCCCTTTTGTATAAGTAACTAAGGGGAAACTGATGGCTAGCTGATTCTTTCCCCTTCTCTTTATAAGTAACTAGGGGGAAACTATTGGCTATCTGATTGTTCCCCCTCTGTATTAGTAACTAGGGGGAAACTATTGGCTAGCTGATTCTTTCCCCTTCTCTTTATAAGTAACTAGGGGGAAACTCTTGGCTATCTGATTGTTCCCCCTCTGTATTAGTAACTAGGGGGAAACTAATGGCTAGCTGATTCTTTCCCCCTCTCTATTATTAGTAACTAGGGGGGAAACTATTGGTTAGCTGATTCTTTCCCCCCTCTCTATTAGTAACTAAGGGGGAAACTATTGGTTAGCTGATTCTTTCCCCCTCTCTATTAGTAACTAAGGGGGGAAACTATTGGTTAGCTGATTCTTTCCCCCCTCTGTATAAATTTGTCAATAAAGGGAAAGCTATTGGCTTGCTGGGGGTTATTCTAACTAGACATGTGTTACTCAACAATTGATGAGTATAGGAACAATTGATGAGTATAGTATAGGAACAATTGATGTGTATAGTATAGGAACAATTGATGAGTATAGTATAGGAACAATTGATGTGTATAGTATAGGAACAATTGATGAGTATAGTATAGGAACAATTATTGAGTATAGGTCATTTTGGATCATTTTGTGTTTCCTTTTGGTTGATTCACTTACATACACAGCTGATATACACTTGAATCTTCAAATTCAGTTTGTTCAAAGTCATCTTTACAAGTATGTTATCATTTGAGAAGTGTATTATGGACTAGAGGGCTCTTGTTCACCAAGTGATATGATCTGCTACATGTCACTTAAATTTTCACTTTATGTGAACATCTGTATCTCTTGCCCGAGGGATACCTGAAAGGTACCATGTAGGTATCATGTTATTAGTAAAATAAAATATAGATGCATCCGAATAAAAAGTTGAATATTTTTTAGTTTAATTCTAGATTTTATTTATAACAGATTCAATACATAATTTCCCCCATCAAGGTTTTATTTATGATAAATATATATATGCCAGCAATGATAGAAACAACAAGGTTCCCTAGGACTTAACAAAGACACATGACACACAGACAAACAGCTATGAACAATTTAGTGTTCAACTGTCATATATTGATTATAATTTACATTTATGTATTCATCAGATTTTCTAACTGAGGGGGGAAAGAATCAACCAGCCTATTTCTTCCCCGGGGAACTTTCAGACGGGGAAGGAAATAACTTCTACACCGGAATGAACAGGTTGTTTTTACATGGATTCCTATGCCAACTCTTGTGAAACAACACTGATTTTCGGAATGGACAGGGTGTGGTTTATACAGGGTTCAACTACTATGATTATATAGAGAATATGCCGGAACCATAAATCACAGCCGGTTTAGACAGAGATATGGATTAGGCAGGGGCCAGTTTTGACGGGTTATACTGTAGCTAGAATAACCCAGCACTCTTTGAGGCTTTATTTGAGGTAAAAAAATCCTTCCTGGTATATTATACAAAGGGCATTCAAAAAAAGTGTGATTGGTTTTTCCTTCATGCTCGGCATCAAGAGTTTCCCTTATACTGGACAAGCATATTCAAGATTTTCCCGCTGTGAGATTTCCTCGTCCCAGATGATACTGAAACGCCCCGCACATCCCTATCCCCAGACACCAATCCTTCCATCTGTCTCTCTGTCCATCCCCTTTAATTTCTTGTTTGGGTGCTAACTTTAGAACCAATGTGAACTAATGACCTGCCCAGTTGCTTGTTATAAAGAAAGTGATGGCATAAACCTCAAACCTGGTCTGCAGGTTTCCGTAGGAAAAAGGAAAAACCCCTATGATTTCGAGTAAGGTTGTTAAAGATCACTTATATGTGTGGGTACTAACATGAGAAGAAATGATTTCACAAGGCAAATGTTTGTATGAATTGCCCTGTGGGTAAGGAAGGACCCTATTGATTTTGGATTTGGTTGATCAAAAGTCACTCACTGAAATATGTTTTTTTACGGAATGAAGGGCATAACCAGACACTTACTTTAGATTGAATGCTTGCACTCAGCTCAGAGTCTGTATACGGATTGCCAAAGGGAAGATAAAAAAAACTGTTTTTTTTGGTTATGGTTTATCAAATTTAAAGATCAAGGTCACTATTACTAAAAGTACAATATTTTTCTCAAGATTCTAATTTAAGTTATCAAGCGAAGATCAGATTTGGTTTGTGGGTTCCCTTAGAGGGGAGGAAGGGTTCTGTTAATAACAGTCCTATTTAAGTTGGTTGTGGTTTGACGATGATGAAGGTCTAATTTCCTGCCCATAGCTTTGAGATAAAAGAATACAGCAATGGCAAACACTTGACTTGTGGAGCGCGTTTCCTATGAAATCATAGACGTATTTAAAATAGATGTTGCCCAGGAGCGTTTAGTAGGATTTGCGTTCTCTAGCTCTCATGACGTTATCTTTTGTGACATCACAATGAAACATATGAAACAAATAAATATCAGTTTATTTATTAGCTCACCTGCCTGAAGGGCTAGTGAGCTTATGCCATGGCGCGGCATCCGTCCGTCGTCGTCCGTCAACTTTTCCTTTTAATGGCTTCTTCTGAAGAATGGGCAGGCCTAGAGTCATGATATTTGGGTGATAGCTTCGTTGAGAGGAGCCTGACAAAGTTTGAGAATAAAAATGACCTTGACCTACTTTCAAGGTCACAGGGGTCAAATATGTCAAAAACTTTAAACGACTTCTTCTGAAGAACTAAAAGGTATAGAATCTTCATATTTGGCTGGTGGCTTCCTGGGATGGAGTCCAACAAAGTTTGAAAATGAAAATGACCTTGACGTACTTTCAAGGTCACAGCGGTCAAATATGTCGAACACTTCAAACAACTTCTTCTGAAGAACTAAAAGATATAGAATCTTCATATTTGGCTGGTGGCTTCCTGGGATGGAGCCCAACAAAATTTGAGAAAGAAAATGACCTTGACCGTCTTTCAAGGTCACAGGGGTCAAATATGTCACACGCTTCAAACATTTTCTTCTGAAGAACTAAAAGGTATAGAATCTTCATATTTGGCTGGTAGCTTCAAAATAGGCATCCAACAAACATTCGTTCGTAAGGATCCAATGGCTATATGTTAGACCATACTCGTTATTACTCAGAAGTATAATTATTTAAGTACGTTTTTCAAGTTCAAAATACGTCATTGAAGCTTGATGACACACGCTGGCGGCGAAGTCTTGTCGGTTAATTGTTGAAATAAATAAAGCAATTGACAAAATTCAACATCAGTTATGGACCAAGGTACACATTTAATAAGCCCGGATCAGAAACCCGGAGAAGGAACTGTATCCAGCGCCATTTATCTTGTTTCCAGACGGGTCATATGTGTGTTCCACCCAAACCATCTGCCCGGCCTGGAGCCGTACAACCACAAGCTTGCTGCCATTATCAAAGTGGTTACCGTTAGCAAAGACCACACCTATTTTCTGACCATCTCTGACGATGGCGGCGTGGATTTCTGACTCGTCTCCGTAACACATGACAGTTACAGAGAAGGCGTACAGACCCGCTACGGGTGCGGTAAAATGACCGTGTCTTGTGTCATAGCCATTCCCGTCATTGGTGACAACAGTGTCAAATACTACGATTTGTGAATCTCCAAGGGCAGTGGTTGTTGACAAAGAAGCGGAGAAACCAACATTACTAAGCTCTGCGCCATTGCCTGAAACTAAACACAAAATAACTTTAAATATCTAACCAGGCATCCTTGTCAATATACCCCGGAAATTCCTGGGCTATGGAACTAAATTATTACCTCGAATATGGAGGTTAAGGAGGATACCGAACAAATATGACAATATATAACGCGGGGGGGGGGGGGGGGGGGGATACCACAGTGCTTTCGGCCTGCAACATTAGGTCAAAAGAACAATTTTTGATTGTATATATAAATAAAAAAAAGAAACTACCTACAAAATGTACTGGTAGTTAGTTATGTCGCCAATACCACATCCACAATACAATACCACATCCACAATACATTACCACATCCACAATACAATACCACATCCACAATACTTTGCCGAAACAATACAATACAAACCTAGCATTTAATCAAATCAAGTCGCCGGCTTCTAAAGTTCGCAGTTATTGATCTGTACACCACGTGATAGTTTATCCTGTGTCGCTATTGGTGAGTGGGGGGTTACGGTAAAACCATATCATTAAAATTCATGGATACGAACCCTGACCGCATGTAATGATAAGTTACATAAAAAAAACGATTCATTTAATGGATCTTTTGTGGGGTTTTCTGATAAAAAAAAATATAAGAAATCTTTAAAGACAATGGTAGTTGCTCAACCCAACCTTTATAAAATATATTGGTTGGGTTGAGCAACATGGAAATGAAATTGAACGACTTTACCAGTCCTGATAAACTCTTCAATACATTCAGCTTCTTATTAAAAGGAAAATAGGTCGGTCAAAAGAGAGACAGCTTGTTTCCTTTGAACGTTTACGGTCTACTGGAAAACTGTGATACCGAACTCAATACAGACATTGTCAACCAGGAACTTCAACATTCTCTGGATTTCATTCTCGGTATATTTCAATTTGGCTTCTTAAAACATACGCTCCAAATTAGTTTGTAACCATATATTTATATCGCCGTTTGCCCTTTTTGGAAATGAATGACATGAGATATGATGATACAGTCTGTACGTGGTCTAAAGAGTGAGAAAGCCAAACGATCTGCTGGAAGAAACATTGGTTAACGACTGCTTGTTTGATTTTAGGTTTAACGTCCTCGCAATAGCTGAGGTCAGATGCAGACGGAGAACATTTATCAAAGATTTGTTGAACAAAATCCACATTCCATTAACTCTGCTCGTGAATATTCGTACGGACAGGCTTAAGGAATCGAATGTGTGCCCCACCAGCAATGATTTTATGAAGTATTAAAGCCAGATTCTAAATGTCACGTAGAAATATTGAAGAAAAATCCTCATCTGATGTTTATAAAACAGAGAAAAGGCAACTAGTCCAGAGTAGTTCACTGATATCTGTTTTTAATATTTGCCAATACCCAGTCAACCAGAAAAGTGGAATAAATGGGGAACTCGTTATCAATCAAAGCATAATATTTTACCTCTTTTCCGTTGGCCTGTTGTACGAAATTGGTTCTGATCTGCAAAGTTTAAAATCAAAAATAGTGAAGAGTCAAAAGTTCTAAGGCAAAACAATCTAAGTAAGTTGAAGTTTAATTTTGTTGACTATTGTCACAAATAAACATGCATGCATGCTTTTGAAATTCATATCATTTTAAATATATGCATATCAAAATGTGTTTGAAAAAGAGATAGGACCTTTAACCGAATGCGTTTAGATAAAGGTAAGGCTTAATTTAAGACAAAAAGCACGTAATGGTTTAAATGAACGTATTAAGCGTAACGAAATAAACTTTAAAAATACTGTTGCTATTTCATGCCACCTATGTTAATGAAATAAGTATCTGTGAACAAAACAAGTAGATATATAGCACTATATCTAAACTAAAACATGCATGGCTAGACATCGGAACTTCTGCACTAAACTGACATTAATAAATATGAATTAACATACGTTTTAGTTCATGAGTTTCAGCTTCCAGTTCCTGAATACGGTTTTTGAGAAGTACTGTAAGAAAAGAAATTATATCAATAGTCCGTGCAAATGATAATTTGCGTCTTTTTATTTGTTAATACAACTCATTTTCAGTCATGATATTAAGCTTGAAGTGTTAATTCTGTTACTTCCATTTTGATGTTGATAAATTTGGCATTAACCCACTTACATTGTAGAAGGTCACAGTTGGGAGATGTGTTTGACAAACCCCTTGTATAGCAGGTGATCATGAGCGACACAGGCCTATCGAGCCTCCTGTCTACTAGTCTAATATTAAAGGAATGTATTAAGTCAAATATATCATACATGTTCTTAAGTACTTAATACACTGTATATGCGATAAAGCCACATATTAAATAATATATCTTCATTAGGACGGACAAGTCCTGAATAAAAAAGTATGTCAATGTTGAATATTTAAATTGCACTTTTTAAATGAAATTGGAATGGCTATTATACACGTTTGTTTATATGTTGGTGTATTTGTAAACATTTATTACTTATGTTTTCGTAACCAACGTTTTGGAATACCGTATCACGTGTTATTTATACGGGCTTATATTTTCGCGATTTTGACCAAAATTAGAAAATTTAATTTACACAGATAATTTCGCGACTTAGGCATTTGCAGAAACTAAATGTTCGCAGTTACAATCTCTGATGTCGACCGTCTCTTTAAAACGAAATTAGTATATACAAACATATGTAGCGGAACTAGACTGGGTCAGCCGTCGGCGTTCAGGGTGCTACATTGGTAAAGCGTCCGTCTAGATGGTCCAGGGTTCAAGCCGGCCTGGCTGTGCCTCTGTACTGTAACAACATTGGCAACATTGTGTTTCAAGCACTGAGTCATACATCGTAAAGCAATTCTCGAGCCTAGGTAGTAAATAGTAGGGTCTGTGGGGGCGAACATTTTAAAGAGAGAGGAATGAAACGGAACTAGACTGTGGGTCAATCGTCAGCGACCAGGTAGGTCAATTGGTTAAGCGTCCCTTAAAAGTTCGGAGGGTCACGGGTTCGAATTCCGATCTGGTCGTGCATTTCGTTTTCTCCTGTTTCATATATACTTGTGAACTCATATCAGCTAATTGATATCACCGTCCGCTCCATGTATCATACCTCTATACTCATCTGTGATCTAACGCTAGTTTATCGATACCTTATGTATATCATCCTTGCATAATGTTCACCTCATTTTTACAAGTTATCCGTGATTCTTCTAGGTTTTCCATCGGTGTCTCTAGTAGCAATTTCTCACACTGTGATGGGGAACGCGGCATATAAACTGTCAACGAGTCAAACGAAATGACTTTATTACAGCATGTTGAGCAAAAACAAGCAAAGGTATGTGCAAGTCATTAAATAAATGTAATATGATCTATTTTCAAACATCTTGTATTACTTTTCTATTTATGGTTTATTATACCGAATACAATAGGGAATACCAGGATGGGGCCTGGCCTGATCCCTGTACATAGTACATGTAGCCTAGTCATTCTCTGACTCTCTCTATTTTGCACGCTCATTTTGTATTACTCTTTATGTATATGAATGGTCACACCATATGGCCGCTGTTTCTTGACGACATCACGATTATGAATTATCGCGGTGGATCAGAAATTTCGTGATAGCGTTTATGACTCGCGAAATTATCATCCCCGCGGAAACGCCATGCTATGGTAATCACGATATCCTAATAAAAATAAATAAAAAAGTGAAAAAGAACTGACGGCCCTCTGTTTTGATTACCAATCGTTCCATCCTGTTTGTGTATGTGATCTTGCTGACTTTGGAAGGCTGCCTGCAGTGTCTGGACTTGTTTGTTGAGCGTAGAAAGGACTTCCTGAGTTATATCCGTGTCACAAGTAACAAGTACCGCAACAACGCACAAACAGACCAGCTGTAATGTATGTACGGACGCCATCTTTGCTCAATTAGCTTTGTCCTAGAACCTAGATTTAGTGTCGTCTTTATCTTAGAGATAAAGACACACGTTATCAGGAGTACATGTAGGTCATATTTTGCATAGTTTATCAGTAACGTAACAAAGATATGCTTTCTATAATATATGGATAAAGCAAAATTTTCCTTACCACAGCCAAATATTCATTATATTTTCATTTTACAATACCACTCACTTAACTAAGGAGACGGATAAATATAAGTACTTTGTACTTGTTTTCGAATCCTATATCTATATCATGTTTGCATTACTGGAATATTATACCGATAATAAAATAAAGTTTAAACTAACTAGAACACTTTTATACAATAAAATAGAAAAAAAATCAATTAATTTAATTAACAGAGAGAAAAAAATGAACCAATAAAAATAAAACACACAAACCACACTTAATAATGCATTGCGTTAACAGAACCTTACTTACGCATGAAAACGTTGTAAGCAGGGAAACATGGAACTTTTTTTTCCATAATTTATATATTCTTTTGTCTTGCAGCAGCATTTGTGATGGCGTCTACGAAGCATGAAAGGCAATTATCTATGTGTTGCACTTTTTCATGGTACATGAACAATTACACAATGTGTTATTGTAATAAGGAAGTTAATGCAGTAAAACCTTGGTATGATCGGCTTCACATTGACGGCTCCTACCGTAGAAGAGCTATGTAGTTGTAATTTAGCTTCACTAATTGCGCTAAACCTACCTATGCTGAAGATTAGTATTACTAACAGGATGCATAACTGAAATTAAAGTATAATAACGGAAGATTTATCCTCAAGAAAAACGTTTTCATCGACAGAGCTTTTTAAAGTTTGATCTTATTATCACACTGGAACAGGTAAAACTTTAGAAAGGACAGTTTTAAAGGATACCCCCATCCCCTAAGGCGGATGTGATAGAAAGATATCAAACCTACATAAAACAAGTAACAGTTAAGATTATATACTTTCTGTTGAAGGTGAGATCTGATAAAAAAAAAAAGAAACGTAGCATAAAAAAAACAACAATCGATGTTCTTTTAATTAAAACAATGACGGTCAAATTTATCAATCAGTAAGAATGCTATCGTAGAAACACGGCAGTTAATTCTAGGTCAAATTAAATAAACTCTTTCCCATGGGAAAAAAGCAAGGTAGTGACAACGGCATCAGAACGCACACAATTAACCAATATCAAAAATGTCTACATTAACATTGCAAATAGATAATTGAATGTTTCCCTGTGATCTCATGATGACACATAATATGATATCCACATTTGTTTTTCATATCATCCGGCTTTGCATTTTCGTGTTTAAGTCAAACGTACCGACAAATAAGCGCTATAGTTATAAAAGGAGTTTTTCGCCTGAATAAATCAGTTGCATTCTAAAAGGAGTTTTGTCGCCTGAAGCTGTTGTTCTTTTGAAGTACATTCCACCCCCTGAAAGTTTACGATGATAACATTCCATTTTTGGAAATAACGATTTAGAATTGGTATTCCCGAAAATAATGGTACATGTATATTTTTTAAAATGTGGAGAAAAAAAAATTGGTTTCAATGGCATAAACAGCAAAAAAAGTGTTTAGAGAAAAAATTAACTAACCCATTTCTGAGATAGAAAACATATTTAAAAACATATTTATTGTATTGATAACATTTGCAATAATAATTATTTTGAAACAATTGAAGGAATACAAAATCAATTGTGAATTACTAGTTTCCAATTTCATGTCTTGACCAAATTCAATGCTTACTGCAAATAGATTTTTTATTACAAGTTTGTGGTTTGAAATGATATGTAAACAATTCACTTGTGTAAAAGTTTTTTTAAATCCAGCATGAAAATCAGCGACAAAATAGTCACATCTTTCGTTGAATATCCTGAACCTTAGTAGATCTTGTCATGTCCGTCACTGACACGCTATCCACGGGAGACCGGGGCAGTATTACCGGTAGTCATCCTATTAACTAAATGTCGTTAATGGCTGGGCGGACAATAATTTAGCCAGGCCTCTATCTATGTTGCCAGTTCACTCCATAATTACTTTTGCCTGATCTCATCACATCAGATCAACATTGGACAGTGTTACATTGTTTACGTACACCTCTTCACGACAGCTTCCATCTACTCATCAACGCCTCATCACTATTAGTGTCTTATTAGTTTAAACCCGTCCTGACAAGTTGTATAAGGGAGTTTGAAATAAATGTCATTGAAACCAGGATATCTTTGTATTAAACACTGGAAATTTGGAAAACATTCTCGAGCAGTTAATTGTCAACGCCATAATTTTAACAATTGCTCTTAAGGAGAGTAGTAATATAAATGCAAGATTTGTTAAGTTATTTCTGTCAAATGCATTTTTTTTTTTCACTTTGTGAACATACCCTTTTTCAAAAAGTAAAAACGAATCCTAAATGCATCAAATTTGGCAGAGGTGTATTATCTTATATATAATATCAAAGATATAAACATTCATTTCTCGAAACTATTTAATAACAAGCTATATTTTATTATCATTAAAAAGGTGGCATGATAAGCATTTTTATTAAAAAGGTATCCTTTAAGATATTAATCAGTTAAAAAAATCAATGTATTTAACATTTCACAAGTGAGGAACAGTTTTAAAGGATTTCGCCAAAACTCCCATTACATATCGATCGGACTGTTTGTTGTAAGTTATAGGTTGCTGTGCTTACATTACGACATTCACTGCCAATATGGTCACGATGAGGAAGAAAAACAAAAGAAAAACAATTACAATGTGTAGATTCCGATTAGAATATTTTATTGCAAACACTTGTACCAATTACATCGCAAACGTCTGTATTTTTTAGATTGTTTGCAATAAATAAACGTGGATTTATTGCTTAAGGATTAACTTGAATATATATTTCATGTTATGGAGCTAAAACACAGCAAATCGGAGTGTACTCTAAATAAACCGCTCCATAACATAACAAATATATTCAATTCAATCATTATTTAATCTTCTTTACACAATGCCTGTGGAAATCCACTTTTATTGATGGACTCTCTTCTCTTAGAAATTATTACGCCCTGTATCAGCCAATCAAAAGCGACGTTACAAATGGTGACATCATTTTTTTTACGTTATGGGCTGATAAAGTTTTAAGCCAATGAAAATGCTAGTTACAAGCAAGATTAAATTATAAACCTATATATACAATAATTGTTTTGTTTTCATTTTGGGCAGCGTCATTTTAACAACTAAACCAAGTCATTTGCTTAAGGATGGGCTTTATGTAATGTATGCGTGCATGTGTGTGTTTGTGTTGACGGCTTTATGTTTGTGCACTTGCCTCCTTGCGATTGCACAGGTTTGATGCCTACTTTAGGTTTCTGTATAACTTAAATAGCATTTCGAAGGCACCCAGCATAGGATAATAACAACCACCATTTTCAGGAGCTTTGTATGTCCTAGTTTGGGTACAGAACTCATTGCCTTCTTCACTTTCTCCACTAAATTTAAAAATAAGATATTGACAAGCAAGCTGCTAGGGAAAAAGTTGAATTATGCAGGGGGGGGGGGGGTTCCCACATTTGTAACCTCTTTCAGCAGGCATTGGATAAGATAAGGTATACAAAGACAATAGCATCACTGATCCTGAAGTATACCATAGTCATAACACTTTTATGCATACAAGATTGGAAAATAAAACTGTCGTTTATGTAATTGGCTCTGGAGAAGTCAACTTCAAATGTAACAGAGACAAAATCGGAAAACAATTTCAAGTCGACACCAAAAGTAACATCAGGAAGATATCGAAAAAAGTGTAACATTGACCACCACAAGAAACGTACCCGGTATGACCCGATACATGTGTCACGGTGATGTCTTTCAAATCCAGGAAAGTATTGCGGGCACACATGATCATGGTTCTGTCAGTGGTGGGCACCCATTTACATATATACTATTCACGTTTTGCTAAGGATCACTTTCATTTTTGGGCATAATTTTTTATGTGAAAATAAATATTTTATTTGGTTTATACTGAGATTATTTCTGAAAAATTGATTGTTCTTTTAATTCATCAGCATACAAAAATTCCGAAAATCGTAATTATAGTCGGAAAATGAGCCACGGGAAAAGGGTTACCCTTGAAATTGGTAACAACGAGGTATTCACTAAAAAACTTAAATTGAACAAAACTCATCCTGAATAAACAGAAACTGTTTTAGTATCGAGTGTGACGCCCATGATCATCAATTACAGCTTTACAACGTCTGCGCATGCCCCGAATGAGATCGCGTGTCCGGTTTTGTGGTATAGTGTTCCACTCAGCTACCAAAGCTGTTCCAGCTCCCGGAGAGTACTTGGCTGAACATTTCTGTAAGAGAGAGCTGTCTGCAGCATGTCCCACATATGCTGGATGGGATTTAGATCCGGCGAGCGGGATGGCCAATCCATTCGTTGAACAGATTCTTGCTGTAGATATTGCTCAGTCACCATTGCTCTATGTGGCCCAGCATTATCGTCCATAAGGATGAAGTCAGGGCCGATAGTGCCAGCGTAGGGTCTAACATAGGTATCCAGGATGTCATCGCATTAAATCCGGGCCGTAACGGTACCATTATGGAAACTTGGGGGTCAGTTTTCCCACGAATGCTTATGCCTCCCCACACCATCACTGAACCTCCACCATATCGGTCATGTTCCACAATGTTACCTGCCTGGAACCTCTCCCATGTGGTCCCAATACTCTAATCTGGACTCGTCAGTAAAAATAATTGGTTCCCATTCCTTAAGAGTCCAAGTGCTGTGATGAGCTTGGGCCCAATCTAATCGGTCCCTAACATGGCGGGCAGTTAAGGGAACTCGTATTGCTGGTCTACGTGACCTTAAACCAGCACCATGAAGACGGTTCCTAACTGTCTGAGTGGCTACCCGGGTACCAGAAGCATTTAGGAGGTCGTTTCGTAAAGCTGTGGCAGTCAGGAACCTGTGACGCCGTGCCTGTATGAGCAAAGATCGGTATTGGCGCCGTGTTGTACCCTAGAACGACCTCCAACATGACGTCTGGAAAGTTTCCGTTAATTTGGAAACGATTCCACATTCTTGCCACCACACTTTGAGACATCCCAAGGTCTGCTGCAACCTGACGTTGAGACATGCTATATTGCAGCATTCCGATGCCCCTATTCATTTCACCGTCATTTAACCGTTGTCTGGTTCGTCTTTGATTTTCTTAACAATTTGAAAAACGCCTTACTTAGCCTAGCTTAGATTTTGAAAGGGTTGTACACGTGGAAAAGCGTGCACGCGCTTTTATGGTTGACATAATACACCCACACAGGACGATTTGGAAAGCTAACATATTCGCCCAAAATAGAATGGAAGGAAAATATAATATCCTTTCTAACATTTTATTTTCTTCAAAATATAGGTGATATCCAATGTAATTAGAAAGGTTGGTATTGCTATTATAATATGTAAACTTTAACTATTATACAAGCTAGTTTACTACCAATATAGTATGGAAAGTTAACGATATTGAATCTAAAAATAATACGTTTAAAATCAAGTAAAATATTTATAATTGTTTAGGTATGCTGGGCCGTACAGTAATGACCCACATATATATTAGGGGGTTACTCAGCAAATACTGCAGACATGTTGCAGCATTATGTATTTTTATACTTATCTAAAACGTTCTTAAGAAAATGGAAAAATCTAAACGAAAATTATGCAACCCATATCAATTTAATGATTATTTTTGACATAATGATTTGTGCTCTAATATTAATAAATAACGACGGATGTTCATTCATTTACTAATTTTGAGCTTTTGATTTCCTGTAGGTTTTATACAATCAGTTAAATATGTTGTCTCTTTTGTGTTAAGGTTGTTAATAAGTAATGCTTATGACTACTGTAACGAACATTCTGAGGAACACTACTAACCCTTCATTTGTTAACTACGCAGTTATTTGGTAGCTTTAGCACTGTCACAATATCTTTGCGAAATGCTCGTTCTATTTACGTGTTTTTGATGTGACCCCTTTGAAATACTTCAATAATTTCCCAAGATCGTCACTAAAAGCTACTGTGATAGATTAACCCACATTAAGTTTCCTTAGATGATCCGATTAGAACAATTGCAGATTTCTGTATCAGAATCAGTCGACATCCCTGATGTTGGTTTCGTATTTAACATAATGGTTTCGTCAATGATAGCACAGGTTTATCTGTAACAGTGGTTCGGCATGGTGCCCTGGTATGTAACAGCGAACCGCTCACAATTCCCATCCTCCAGTAGCTTGGAGCACGTTGTCATTCAACGTATTGATCGACTAGCAAGTCAAGCGTCTGAGAGAAGCTGAACTATTGCTGGAAAGAATGATCATGCCATGCATAATAGATGCTTGGAAGGCCTAGCGGTATCCCGTCAACGATACAATATACCCGTGACACTCATTCAACTGAATGCAGTAGTTGGTGTATTAAGTCCGCACACATATCAATGGGCGAATTATAAACAGTATAGGACATTCCCATTACAACATAAAGCGATTTGATTGCGACGTGCTGCTGTATATAAACCAATGATGTCATGATTCCCGCTGCAGGACGGTACCGGATTATCATACCAAACACTCGAAAGGTATGTTACCCCAGTATCTTATACCATCATTATGTTCATGTGTCGTGTTGTAGTGCACACTATCATAACCTTAAATGTGATAATAAAACGGTGTTATGACAGCACGCGTATGGATGAGTCGATGGAACAAACAAGCAATACCATACATAGCACGCGTGCTACTGTGTCAGCAAGAACAAACATATTGGTTGCTCTCTGCGATGCAAGTGCAACATGGCATGATTGTATTGCGTTTTACTCTTCCGTGTAAATATTGAAATAGCACCTATTTTCCAGCTCTTTTATAACTTCCGTAGTTTACGAGTCAATCTTAGTAAAGCATACTACGTCTAGAGTGAATTCCATGTCTGTACATCATTACGTGTTCATGGAGCATATACATACAGCATGGATGTGTCCGTATTGTTAAACTGAATAACTGCTAACATGACAAAAACTATAATATAGTAGATAAGACCAAGTTGGATTTCCAACCTTTTTGGCCCTAAGCATCACCGATGAATCCTAGAGGACGTAACAGATGTATGGTGCTATTTAATTCATTTTTACATACTGTATTTTATACCAAATGTGTTTCGTTCATTCTCTATGTAAATATGACATTATTTATGTTATCCAATATAGCTTCATGAAAACTGACCCCGGTAGCCACACATACCAAATTAAAAGGCAACATCAGTTTCGCAAGGATGGGGCAGAACTGTCGTAAATGTTTTAAGATTTATATATGTAGAAGGGTGCTTACACAGTTAACAAAACAGATGTGAAAAGGAACACCTTTATTATTTATACCTGATGACCTTAAGATAATACATGCTGCAGAAATCACCGTTTTAAAAGCATTTCCACCAACCTACTGCATGCTTACTTTCATGAAATTTCACGATTACCAACAACCGATCACATGATTACCAACAACCGATCACATGATTAATAACAACCGATCACATGATTACCAACAACCGATCACATGATAACCAACAACCGATCACATGATTAACAACAACCGATCACATGATTACCAACAACCGATCACACGATTACCAACAACCGATCACATGATTACCAACAACCGATCCCATGATTACCAACAACCGATCACATGATTACTAACAACCGATCACATGATTAACAACAACCGATCACATGATTACCAACAACCGATCCCATGATTACCAACAACCGATCACATGATTACAAACAACCGATCACATGATAACTAACAACCGGTCACATGATTACAAACAACCGATCACATGATTACCAACAACCGATCCCATGATTACCAACAACCGATCACATGATTACAAACAACCGATCACATGATTACCAACAACCGATCCCATGATTAATAACAACCGATCACATGATTACCAACACCCGATCACATGATTACCAACAACCCATCACATGATAACCAACAACCGATCACATGATTACCATCAACCGATCACATGATAACTAACAACCGATCACATGATAACTAACAACCGATAACATGATTACTAACAACCGGTCACATGATAACTAACAACCGATCACATGATAACTAACAACCGATAACATGATTACTAACAACCGGTCACATGATAACTAACAACCGATCACATGATTACTAACAACCGGTCACATGATAACTAACAACCGATCACATGATTACTAACAACCGGTCACATGATAACTAACAACCGATCACATGATTGCCAATAACCGATCACACGATTACCAACAACCGATCACATGATAACTAATAACCGATCACATGATTACCAACAACCGATCTCATGATAACTAACAACCGATCACATAATTACCAACAACCGATCACATGATAACTAACAACCGTTCACATGATTACCAACAACCGATCACATGATAACTAATAACCGATCACATGATTACCAACAACCGATCTCATGATAACTAACAACCGATCACATAATTACCAACAACCGATCACATGATAACTAACAACTGGTCACATGATTACCAACAACCGATCACATGATAAATAACAACCGGTCACATGATTACCAACAACCGATCACACGATTCCCAACAACCGATCACATGATTACCAACAACCGATCACATGATTACTGTCAATCCTTTACATGCTAACATATCAGAGCCAATACATATAGATACAGGGTACACTATACCACTCTCACTAAAACTTATCAGGTCCATTTTTCAGCTATGCCATCCTATTTTGATATTTCTGTATTTTCTTGTAATTTAGCAATCTCAGGAACCATTTATATGATACAAAGCGTTCCATTTAGTGTATTGATTAATTAATGTGAATTCCAATTATTCTCATTGCTTAAACATGCACGGTTATTGGTAATAAAAGCAATGTTTGTTGAGAGAGGCCGTCAGACAGTTAAGCGTGTGTGCAGCATTGCGTAAAGCAGTCTTCCTGTGTAGGTTTTTCGATACCCACACATTGGCGATAAGGAAACGGTAGGGTTATTTAACGTTTCATGGAAATTCAGTGGTCATATATTCGTACGACGCATTTTAAAGAGAAATCGATACTGTGGATCATGTGAAAAGTCAATTGATTATATTAAACAGGAACGGTTAATTTTGAATGAAAGTATTTACCTTCAAATTGATCGAAATAATTATAACAAAATGGAGCGGATCTACTGCTAGGTAAGGCTTATTCTTTTATAAAACCAATAATGATTTGTTCCCAACACAAAACACTTTCCTGACAGTTCGCGCTACTCCCTGTCATGCTGAAGTTTGTTCGTCGTACATTGGGTCGTTTGTTTTGTAAATATCCGTTTCATTCACAGTAGAAAAAATAGCAGTGTTGATATTTCCGTGTTGCTTCGACAATTCCGGGTACTTTCACTGAACCCTAAGTGTGAGGGAAATCCTGTCAATATATATTTAAAGGTAAACAAAGCATGTAAACATATGTCCCATACAACTCTATTTACAGTGTCCATGTATCGGGATTAACATATTTTAAATGTGAGACTAATGTGTTACATTGTACATTCTATTTGGCTGCCTCCCATTTTTATGTTTGGTTATTAAGAGCTGATTACACAGATTTCCAGTATAACTGTGTTTTAATGATTACCTATACAAATATAATGATATATTAGGAGCGTTCTAGTCATACTACTGTTATATCATGTTATATAAACGCCGACACAATGCCTGTCAACATGCATGTTACATAGGTGTATGCAGTAAGCTTGGTGACTGAGACTAATATCAATTACATTTCGTATCCGGAATTTCGTCATATATGAAAAATACATTTTTATGACTGAACAATATATTTACATTACTATTGTATCCATAAGCATTCACAATAGACACTTTTTTGATATTATGTAATCATTACTATCGATATCTGATACACATCAACATCGAAAGGCCCTTCAGGTATATTGAACACAGGTACATCACAGTGCTAGCACAACGGCAAAAATGTTCTATTTTTCTGGTAAAGCGAACACTTATATGATCTTTTATAAGGCTAGGAGTGTCATGTCTTTGCATGGACATTGATATCAGGAGTAAAGTCTCAAAAACAAAAACAATAACTAAATGCAAAAATAAGACAAAAATAATAAATGTTATCATTTGTTTAATTTTTGAAATTTTGAAAATGCATCAAAGAGCATTCAAACATTTTGTATTGAAAGAGAGACACTTCAGGAAATGTTTTTATAGTAAGAGGCATGATAGTGACTGTCAATTTCAAAATACCATTTTAACTTTCAAACTAAGAATATAGTGTTGATTTTTTTGTATCTCATTTTGCTGGTTGAACAAAATATACGTTTTTGTCCTCAAAGGAATCAAGTTGAGTCGATATTTATTAAATAATAACAAACGTTACCCTGATTTTTATTATTCAAACGAATGGTTTGTGTGGACATGCCAATATTCAGGTGTGATCTGCGCCGAGAAATGTGTCTACAGCTAATGGAGGCCCGTCACTTTATATAATACAGGCAGTAGTTATATGGTTTATCAGTATCGCTGATCACAAAAATGTTTCAGTATGCAATATTGTTACGGGGCCACAGGCTATTGGAAGTATTGGGTTCTGTCGTTTGTTTCAACAGTCGCTGTTAGCAGCATGCACTTTATATTATGTTCTAATATTATTTTTATATATGTAGGTTAGTTATTTTCACGAATGATTAAAACAATATATGTATGTATGTCTCCATAACATAAAAAAATATTCAAGTTAAATCCTTATAATTTAATCTATTATACACAATCCCTGTGGAAATCCGCTTTTATTGATGGACTCTTTTCTCTTAGACATTATTACGCCGCTGTATCAGCCTATCAAAAGCGACGTTTCAAACGGCGAAGTCATTTTTTTACGTCATGGGCTGATAACATAAATGTTTAAGCCACTGAAAATGCTTGTTACATGCAATATTAAATTATTCACATAACATTCGCAGGTAACAAAAACATCCACACTAAACAATATCATTCATAGGTAACCATATCATTCACAGGTAACCATAACATTCACAGGTAAGCATAGCATTAACAGGTAACCATATCATTCACATGTAACCATATCATTCACAGGTAACCATATCATTCACAGGTAACTATAACATTCACTTTACAGATAACCATATCATTCACACGTAACCATAACATTCACAGGTAACCATACCATTCACAGGTAACTATAACATTCACTTCACAGATAACCATATCATTCACAGGTAGCCATAACATTCACAGGTAACCATATCATATACAGGTAACTATGACATTCACTTCACAGATAACCATATCATTCACAGGTAACCATAACAATCACAGGTAACCATAACATTCACAGGTAACGATATCATTCACAGGTAACTATAACATTCACTTTACAGATAACCATATCATTCACAGGAAACCATAACAATCACAGGTAACCATACCATTCACGGGTAACTATAACATTCACTTCACAGATAACAATAGCATTCACAGGTAACCATAACATTCACAGGTAACGATATCATTCACAGGTAACTATAACATTCACTTTACAGATAACCATATCATTCACAGGTAACCATAACAATCACAGGTAACCATACCATTCACGGGTAACTATAACATTCACTTCACAGATAACCATATCAGTCACAGGTAACCATAACATGCACAGGTAACCATATCATTCACAGGTAACTATAACATTCACTTTACAGATAACCATATCATTCACAGGTAACCATAACAATCACAGGTAACCATACCATTCACAGGTAACTATAACATTCACTTCACAGATAACCATAACATTCACAGGTAACCATATCATTCACATGTAACCAGAAAATTCACAGGTAAGCATAGCATTAACAGGTAACCATATCATTCACATGTAACCAGAAAATTCGCAGGTAAGCATAGCATTAACAGGTAACCATATCATTCACAGGTAAGCAGAGCATTAACAGGTAACCATATCATTCACATGTAACCAGAAAATTCACAGGTAAGCATAGTATTAACAGGTAACCATATTATTCACAGGTAACCATATCATTCACAGCTAACCATATCATTCACAGGTAATCATATCATTCACAGGTAACCATATCATGCACAGGTGACCATAGCATTGACAGTTAACTATATCATTCACAGGTAACCATATCATTCAGAGATAACCATATCATTCACAGGTAACCATAACAATCACAGGTAACCATAACATTCACAGGTAACCATATCATTCACAGATAACCATATCATTCACAGGTAATCATATCATTCACAGGTTACCATAGCATTAACAGTTAACCATAACATTCACAGCTTTAACTGTGTTTGATAGACATTTTGTTTTAGAAATATCTTAATTTATGAACATATGTCTTTCTGTTTAAACATGAATATACTTATGTTATATATTATTGATAACAACATAAATCTTAAGTGTATTACCCGGATGTTAGCGTTGTAGCAATATAAGGATTTAGTTTTGATTTTCCCAATAGTCAAGCAAGCATGAGAGGCCGTAGTGCAGCACAAAATGAAGTTTGGAATCATAGGTAGTTTCAGCTTATACATCACCAAGCATGTCGAATTTGCAATCACAATAAATAGAACCAGTACTGTTTATTTATTCATGAAATCTAAGACTCTACAAACTGTCTTAAACCCCTTGATTAAGACAGCACCAGACCAAGACTATCTGCCTAACTTCCCCTCCTCACACATCTTCCCTCAACCCCGCACCCTGCTAAGGCTTGTCTGTAAATCCACGACTTGAGTGATTCCTAAGCTATGGAAACTGTCTGAAATCTCTGGACTCAGATAGTCCCAGCTCTCTCCATGCGCTAGTAGCGATTATATGTAGCCTCCTGATTTCAGCAGGCCCCCGACTCAAGGTTAAGCTACAGCATTGGTGGATGGGACAGTATTCAGTCCCTAGTGACTATATGTAGCTATGTGATTACGGCAGTCCCCACTCCCTATATATTGTCTTCAGTCGTGTGATTTTGGCAGTCCCCAGTCCCTATAGATTGTCTTCAGCCTCGTGATTTGGGCAGTCCCCAGTCCCTATAGATTGTATTCAGCCTCGTGATTTGGGCAGTCTCCAGTCCCTATAGATTGTCTTCAGCCTCGTGATTTGGGCAGTCCCCAGTCCCTATAGATTGTATTCAGCCTCGTGATTTGGGTAGTCTCCAGTCCCTATAGATTTTCTTCAGCCTCGTGATTTGAGCAGTCCCTAGACCCTGGAGACTCTCATGTAAGCTGTCTATTTATGTATCGACCAGCCTAGCTCCTCATGAGGCATTCTGGAGCGCTGCAGATAAATCACGACCATTTAGCCCAATCCTGGTATAGATACACGTACAGTCTCGCTCACTGTATTGCTGTAGCACATCGGCTCAGATTTAAGCTCGGTAACCGTTCACCAGTGTTTAAGGATTTACCATAAGAGTATTTTATCAATCATTCACTAATTCCGAGGACTTTGAGAGCCATCCTATATCAACGCTATATGCAAATACCATCTGTTTTGTTTACTATTCCTCCTGCATTCGGTTGTATTTCGCTATTTGGAATACTTTGAGTCCTGTTTCGATTATCTATTTATGTGAAGCGTATGTGTGTCGTATCTATGTGTCTTTGTTCATATTTAAGATAAATCATGTGGTATTTACATGCCAGATTTCAACATAAAACACCAGTTTGAGTTTCAATGCTGTAAACCTTTGTCATATTTTCGGTAATTGTGTTTCAGTCTCACCGGCCGGAGCATACAGAAACAGCGGAGAGAATACGAGAGCAGGGACCAAACACGAAAATCAATTAAGCGTTCAAGGTGGATTATAAGGCCGTGTGCTTCGAAGAACCGGCCATCATTTTGTTATTTAGTTATACAACGAACGAATAATTATTGACAATTGGAAGTTCTGCCTGGAACACGTTAGCTGTGCGTTCTAATGACCCATATCGTGCAATGTTTACAGTGTCTATATTTTGTACAAGGATCCCCGCCCAATAGTTAGGCAGCGACATTGTAAGGGAACTGTCCTCGGCCTTATGTCTAGAGGAACTCTACATGAGGGAGATTATAGACGACATATCTGGATGTAAGCAAACACGCGCTTCAATCTCACCTGCAGTATTGTTATATATCATATCAGTTTTTTGTCAATGGAATCTTAGCTTGTATCTTATTAGAGTTTGTGTAAGAGTTTTACTGAAGTGTGCATTAGTGGCTTATCATTGAAGTGCAACACAAGACGTGTTAATATCCACTACAACCTCGGGCATTGAAGGACATGGCGGTGGCGATAGAGGCTACCAGAATACCCCTAAAGAAGTGTTTATATCAGTAACAACTTAACATATCATTTCAAAAATAAATAGCAAGATGGCGCTGGAATTAGACTCGGACGACAGTGACGTCGGGGAGGGGGGGCGTCGTGGGGACTGCAACAAGTACAAGGTTCGTTCTCAGATCAACGAGGGCTACAATACCTCACCGAAAAAACGGGACATCATAGATACATTCTTCACCTATGTCAATCGGGATTTACTCATATGTAAACTCTTCTATTTTTTCTTTTTCGCTGCTTTTGGATCATTGTTCCCCCTCCTAGCCATCTACTTCAAACAACTAGGAATGAATCCTACCCAGAGCGGTATTTTGATTGGATTCAGACCATTTGTAGAATTTTGCAGCGCCCCCTTCTGGGGAAGTTTGGCAGATAAATATAAAAAGGGTAAACACTTAATGCTGTTTTCCCTGTTCTGTTGGATCGTGTTCACATTGTCGATTGCGTTCGTCAAACCCCCGCCTCATCACTGTGTTGAAACTAATATCACATACAAGCTCCAGAGTCCGCCAGGTTACGTGTCCCGTGACAGCGTGTTGCGGGGCAGACGTAGCGTGTTGCTGGGGCGGAAGGTCAGGGAAGAACCGTTCCCAGCGCTGCCAAAGATACGGAATGATTTGGATAAAAGGATAGACATGATGAATAAAAGTGAAGGTGTTCCATACAATGTGCCTGGAAAAGTTCCCTCAGGAAGCAAAAAACCATCAGATGAGTATGTGAAATTCCAACCCTTAACAGCAAAGCCAGCAGTCAAAACGACGATACAGGTAAAACCCACCCAAAAGACGCAGCTATCGCATGCAATTCCCTCAACTGCTACGATGCCACACGAGGCCACCATAACTAAGCCTGGGGCATCGGACAGCCCAAAGGGAAGCTATATCAAACCGAAGTACAGCACCATATACTACGAGAAACATTCTGTTCAGGATGTGTTCTTCACACTCTTGCTGCTTGTGGTTATTGGCGAGTTCTTTAGTGCCCCAGCTATTACTTTTGCAGACTCGGTTACGCTTACCTATCTGGGTGACGATACCGATAATTATGGCAGGCAAAGGATGTTCGGGTCTCTCGGATGGGGCTTCTCTATGTTTTTTGTCGGCTTAGCATTAGATCAGTCGACGACGTTTCCAAATCACCCATGTGGGTTACAACACCAGGCAGAAAAGGACTACACGATATGTTTCGCCGTCTTTTCTGTGCTCATGTCCTGTGCCTTATTCACAGCAACCCAATTGAAATTCGACCATCGGCATGGCGGCGGGAAGGACTTCCAACTCGTGGAGTTTGTGGAAAAGGTCAAGGATAGAGTTATGGAAACGATCACTGGAAAGCGTCCCCTAGACAGAGGAAGTCTGTTCCGCGACGAAGAAGATGATGACATCGACTATCTCGAATCGAAGGCAACGATGCAAAAACAAATGGAGACGGGTAACGCCATCAATTCTTGTACGGAGGAAGACCCAAATAAATTACAACAGCCGAATGGAAACGGCAAAAATATTCAAATATCACTAGAAACTCGTCAGGATATGGTGTCCGACGTCACTAAGAAACCAGTGAGCATCACAGGACAGGAGGAAGATGATGACGAGCCGTTTTTGGGAAGATGGATTGCTGTCATGCGATTGCTAGCCACGTACAAATACATAACCGTTCTGTTTGTGTCCTGGTTCATGGGGTTCGGGATAGGCCTAATTTTTACCTTCCTCTTCTGGCACCTCCAAGACCTGGGAGGCAGTCCTACTCTTTTCGGGGTCGCCTCGGTCTGCAACCATATATCAGAACTGCTGGCCTATTTTCTAAGCCGTAAGCTCATCTCGCGTATGGGTAAGTAGTTTCTTTTTTACTTCTGTCGGTTAGCTACTACTGTAAGTATTTAATGTCATACTTAGAGTATACGCTGCTATTTTGCATGTAACACGTTATTATCACTAGTAATCTGTAATGTTTGCGGCGGAATATGGCGTGTAAGCCTGCGGATGTTATCGAGTGCAGTTAATAGATATAATAACGCAACTGCAGGTTCCATATTTTTAGGTCGTCTCAAAAGGGTTCACAAATTATTATCCGTGGTTATAGGGCCTTTGCATCCAGACAATATCTTTCTCAACTCCATGTGGAGCATACAGCCGGTGCTGCCATTTTTGTTGCTTACAGCTAAGCATTCAACAATTCTAGCATTGCCCAACCACGTACATATTTACAGCTAAATAGACTGAAACAAGTGGAGTAAAGTATCTTGCTCAAAGATACAACACAGTGCAGTGCCGTGCCGTGACTCGAACCCGCAACCCTTCGGTCACGATCCCGGCATTCTACCACTAGACTATCGTGCCTCCTAAAAACATTACAGGGCAGTATTCTCTTTAGGGCATTATTCCAACTTAGGACTCACGTGTACAACAGACCGATGCACTGTCCGCTACACGTCTTGTTAACTAACCGGCCCTTATCGATGCAATTGAAGGTACGGAACGATAGTAACGTAGCTTACCGACAATGTCGACTAGATCTCGTCACTGCTCTTGTAAAAAATATTTCCATACTTTAATTGCTTAATTAATAAATTTATTTATTTTTGGCGAGGGAGGAGGGTGAGGGACTAATGACAGAGAAAAAAGGTTCATTTTTTTAAAATCTCATATGGGAAATATATTAAACTCTTTTGTTTTTCAAAGTCACGAAAATGTATTTGTTTCATATATAAAACAAATGTTGGGGTAATTCACGGTTCAATATATTCGTTATATTCACCAAATGTTTCCGTCTTATATAATATACTTATCTTTCTCTTTATTTAGGATTTTTAAGATTTTTTTACTTTGTCTACTTTTTGAAATACATTTAATGTACAGCCATCATACCTCTTTGTTTAATTACGTCTGTGACATAGAAGTTTCCTGACCTTAAAATGTAAGCTTCAGACATATCTAGTAATTATATAGCTCCAGTTTAGACAGAAGGTTCAGGCCGTATGAATTATACATAAGTAGTGGAGATTTACTTACTCCCCCTGTCCTCTTACATTTACCGTGTCACAAGGGACTCGCCTGGCTGATCCTATCGACATTGTCGCACAAGTCCGCAATATCTATCACTCTCAATATCCGTACAATTTCTGGTTTCCAATGGCAACAGAAGTAACAAAAAGGGATTCAAGAGAGCTCATCAGGTTTAAGCAAGGGATACAAACTCGGTCAACAATCAGAAATTCGGATGCATTTTTGCACTGTCTTTCTTTTCTCTGATGACAGTATTATACACAAAATATTGGTCACGTCATTTAAAAATATTGCAGGTCAAAACATAATACATAAATTACTCTCACTCAATAGAGCTCCTTTTCCGTGTTCCACAAATACTCGTCATTCCCTAATTGTGATTTTATAGACTTCCATGTAGAGAGGGTAAACCTACGTGAAAAGTAATTCAATAAAGCGTAAAGAAAAACTATTTGTGATCTCATTAGCCACAGATCGATCGTCACCAACTAACTTAGCACGTAAACCGATAAATCAATCACTGGTCGATCATTCAGTTATTACTCACGCGAGATCAACTTGGGCCCGGGTATCGATCGGAAATAGCAGCCTCGTTTTGGTAAGATATATTGTTGAAGGTTCGCTATACCCAAACACTGCCGATAGAAAAGATAGCAAAATGGTGATCATCAATATAACATTGTTGTTTGTTTTGCATTGTCTTAACAAAAGCTAAGGTCATATGACGACGTTACCACTGGTAAAACGACGACTCGACAACACCGAGCCAACATACACATAACATAAGAATAACACAGAACACCACTTGGATCAGTTACAGAAACATCATATTTAGTACAGAGCTTCATCGCTTTGGGATAACTCGAAATGCGTGCGAAATAGGTTATATATAATTATCAATTATGTGAGATCATTTTTATTTATAAAAATGTGTTTAATTTTATGAGATAATGCCTCATTTTAAATCAAATTTGTTTTGTTTATAAATGTTAATTTTGCAGTCCACACAGACTTACTCCATACTGACAATGGTGTCATTCGTTTTACAGACGCACAAGGTTTACATGTGGTACAGAAAGTCCATCGGTGATCAAAACACATTATATGTGAAAGACGCTAGAGCCATTAGTTTCGTATTTTCGGCGAGTAAGTCAAAGTAGAAGGTTCCATCACTTTTCTACTGTGTACATGTACCTGGTAATTGTAAATGTTACCGTAAAAAACAGTCGATTACTATCGCATATCATCTTTTCATTAAGCCGGTTCGCTAAAATCAGGACGAATGTCAACAGATGTCGAATGTTTAGATAAAGATATTGTAGTTCCTAAGGTGTTGTTATGCTTAAATCGTTGATAGTTCCATACACTTTAACTTGCATATTGGCTGCAGTAAATGGAGGAATTTGCGCCTCCAACTTGTTAATGGTAGTCGATCACGGTCGTAATGGCGGCCGATTTTAATATCCCTATATCAAAATAGTAGAACTAATGAGGGGATAACTAAACGCAAGTGTAAAGCAGGCATTTAAAAGTTATTTTCCTGTTTGAATTTTTTAATCCAATGCATTAACACAAAGATGGTTATTAGTTGCGGGCTTTTGAGGGGATAATAACTTTTTGACATTAATGTAGTTATTTTGCAGTAAAGTACTGATATAGGAAATACCATGTTTGGTAGCGTAGTGGGTAAGCTCCCTGCTGTATAATTAAAAGGTCCGAGAGAAGGGGACGTGTAAAAAAAGAAATTATAATAAATATCTGTCTTTCGTATATAACAATATACCATGATATAGTGACAAGTAACTCCCAGTCAGCAAAAACGGCCGCACAGACCTCTTGGACTCTACCTATGATGCGCTTTTAAAGATGCCAACTAGTGACAAAAAAAAAAAAGTCTAAAATTGTTTTCGGTTCTCATTGTAGGCAATTTAGCTATTGTTATTTTCGAAATTCTGTGTGTTAGACTCCCAAAATCAACACGTTTGTCAGCGATTGGAAAGTTTGTCAAAAAAAGTATTCTCTAATATCACACCATAAACGGAAGCACTACGTACGAAATGCAAACATAATTTCTAGTTTCGGTTTTGCCATTAAACATTTCTTTTCTAAAGGTTAAAACGTTACTACGTATTTACGAGGTTGCTGGAGTAATATATGGTGATTTAAAAACGGACCATAGAACGGAATGTGAGAATATAACTAAGTTGTCTAAACTGCAACTTAAAATACATTACCACAATCATTGGTAAAACACGTGCGATAATTACCTTAGATCTTAATCAAAACCGAATGTGAATGCCACAGCAAAGGACAATATTACCATCGTTGCATCACTTTCCAAGAAATTAGCCAATCAGAAAACATCAAAACGATGTTGATCATAACGTTTTTATTCGTATCTCTTTTATTTCATTTGATATCATACACCGCCAGTCTCTCATATCTCCTGGTCAAGAGTCTGGTCGGATTAGTCACAGGAATGAAAGTTTGGAAAGGAGGCTGATAATAAAATAGAGGTTACACAACTAGTGATTGTTGAATATGGTATTTATTTCACTCGAGTTAGTTAATTTTCAAAAGTTACAAAAGACACGAGCTTTAGCGAGTGTCTTTCTGTAACTTTTCAAAACAAACTAACGAGAGTGCAATAAATTATACTCAACAACCACAAGTCGTGTGTTCTGTTTCTACCACAATCTCAGTCGGAAACATCTGGGGTTATTCCTGATTTTAATAGCATACAAACATGTTGTTGACAAGGCTGGCGTAGTGATATGACCCATATGTAAAAAGTCACTCATTAATATTCAAAAATGACTTTAATTTTACAAATTTAATAATTTTCAAAATCATTGTTTCGACAACAACTTCGTGAAAAAATAAAATAGATAAAAGACTTTATGTATTGAGAGTATGCAATATTGCATTAATTAATATAAATTCACCACGGACTATGTGCGCGTAAGCATATCGTACGAAATCTGCCTCCCGCCAAGTGATGAAGACGAACTAATCGCTGTCAATGTCCAAAACCATAGGCCTGGGACGTTTCTTCGTGAGGTTCTATGGTTGACGTTTATAGTGAGAGTTCCGCCATAGACAAGCCCTCCAACTATTGATAACTGGACATGGGGAGAACGAAATATTTTCCGACACTGTTACAGATCTTGTTTGGGTTTCACAGAGACATATATCGGTATATTACGTCTCTGGGTTTCACGACCTGGACACGCGACGGTATGGCGTCGAAACGATATTGAGCGTCTGTAGCAATTTTGCCTGAAACTAGCGATCAAATCTTTAAGCATCATCTTCTTTTGGTATTGCCTTAATGACCCTCTTTTCCCATCGCTTAACCTCACAAAAGTCACCAACATTTGCCGGATGTTGACAGCAGACGACGTAAGCAAAACAGAACGCGGCAAAAAGCGCGTGAAAACATTCGTCCGGTCAAAGTTCAACTTCTCGACCAATCAAAACTACGGAAGGTCATATACCACGTGTGGTATATCACTCATATTTATTCAACAGTCTGCATGTTTATACAATGAGCTGAGAGTGGAATAACACAGCGTATTGTGGCAGAAACGATTATACACAATGAGAAGCTAAAACTTTCTTACTTATAAATGTGCTATTGTTATTGAATAAAGTCACATTTCATTCAGGAACCATTATGACCTCACGCAAATGTTTTTTGATCTGTTTTTGTTTTTTCGTGGTTTTGTTTGTCAACTACCATGTCGTCTCACAGTAAGAACGCCACCATGTTGTGCCATGTTTGCTTAATGGTGCCATTTAGTGTTTTGATTAATAGACCATAAG